ACACTCAGATTCACTAAGACTCGTATGCTTACCCAAACCTTATTATCAATAACAATCATCGTCATCGTCATCATCATCGTCATGATCATTTTCGTTTCCATTTTTATGGTAATTAGGAATTTAGGAAAAATATGTGTGAAAATGTGCTCGCTTTTGGTCACCGAACGTATTAAAGTTGTCGGGACGAGAAACGCAAATAAGCACCTTGCTTTAATGTCGCGTGGAGGCAAGAGAGAGAGAGAGAGAGAGAGAGAGAGAGAGAGAGAGATGTACGTCCATGAAAATAGACGTAAACAGAGAAGTTTTAATTGTAATATCTGACAAGGAGGGCAAGAAAGTATGTTCAGTTCTCACGTACAAAACAATCCACTAAAACGCACTTATATTGCCGTATATCTACCCATTGTTGATGGACGCTTACAGTGAGAAATCTTAATGACTTTGAATTATATTCTAATTTATTCTCTCATTCTTTCTATGTTTTTCGTGTATGAGTGTGCATGTGTGAGCATGTGTGATTGCTTGTCAGCAACACTGTTCACAAAGTTACACCCAAAATTTATATTTGTACATTTTACGATGCATGGTCGTATATTTAAAATGTTTTATTGCTTTTTCGTGTAAACAAATAGTTAAATCTTCGAAACAAGCACCATCAAATTATCATCATTTATTGGAAATAAGAAAATTCGCTACATTTTTGAAAGTGAAAAACAAAAACAAATTAAAAGATTCTGGTGAAAGTGGATATGTTACCCACTCCAAACTACGAAAAGTTGTCCTGTTTCAAAGAGTATTTTCTGTCTTAATTTTACACTTTTTTATATGAATTTTATGGTTGTATAAATGAATGAGCAAGCGGAGTAATGAAACGTGATTTTTTTGTAAAATGAAGAGCCCCTGAAAATTGTTTGCAGTAAAAGTGCCCACAAAAATATTGTCTGAATTTGTTTTCATGTACCACTTTTAGTGAAAAAAAATGTACGAGTCGATTCAAATTGAAAATTTTTCGTGAGGCACTCTCATAGGGATATTGCAACGAACATAAAATATATGTATTTCGTCAAGTTTATCAAGCTCTTTCCAAGTTTATGCATAGTGTCGAACTTTTGTTCAAGCTCTACCATCTAAATGTACAGTAAAATAATTTACGGGCACGACGTAAGATGGCGTTTTTTCTGGTCAAAATAGTTGCAATATCCCTTTGGACACTCGTTCATATAATATTTTTCGGTTCAATTTGAATCGCCTCGTAAACAATTGTTCAGTAAAAGTGGTACATGAAAACAAATTCAGACAATATTTTTGTGGGGCACTTTTATTGCAAAAAATTTTCAGGGGCTCTCCATTTTACAAAACAATTACGTTTCATTATTCCGCTTGCACATTCAAATATTTTTAAACAATTTTCACTTTAGCATAGATCTGAAGCCTCTTGAATTTAATATCTGAATTTAGAAAAGAGAAGTATTTGAATGATGATATGACGACTGTCCAAATCCAGTCGTTAATACAAAGCAAATCGAACACTTTACGATTCATTAGTAAATTGTATGGTGAGCATCGCGGCAAACAGTAAAGTAGGGCACAACTCGCCAATGTAAGTTGTTGACTCTACGTATTAAAATCGTACCATCAGTCTACTCATTTATGGTATTCTTTATAATTGCATCGTAATATTTATGACAAAATTTTCGATGCAAAATTACGATTTGCATCGTATAATGTACCAATGGAGTGTGTTTCTTTTTCAAAATTCAAAAATTACGAATAACATTTTTTAAAGTTTGCTACATACAGAGTGTTTTGAAACATCAACCACAATCTCAATTCAAATGACGAATTTAAGCATTTTTATTTGTGTCATGAATGTCATTATTACAATATTTGATTATATTTCTGTGTATTCAATGAAAAACTCTCTTTGGCTATGCGCTCTTTATACTGTTCACCATTTCAAATAAGGTGTATTTGAAAAATATGTTTTGTGTGTCATTATCCGTCGATTAGCCACTTTTTCAAACAGCCAAATTGTATTCAATTCATCTCTAGCCATTTAGCATTGTTTACGTGTTAATTTACTCAATTTTTCCAATGATGCTTTTAATTTAAAATGCATGTTTAACCGTTTTTCTTCTGGTAACCCGCTGTTGATACACGTTCTGCGGTTGAATTTAATGCGAAATTAAATCCCTGCTCTCCGTTCCGAATCGATTTTCACTGGCATAGGAATATAGCGCAAAGTAAACGGATAAACACTGAAAGCTCATTCTCTTCCTTCCTCTCCGTCAACATGCAACGTGCAGACGTCCATAAAATCCGTGCGTTTTACGCTCGTTTGCTGCTGTGATTTTGTATACATACTGATTACGTGCTCAACACTTGTCATATATCTCAAGTTACACAGTATACCGTAATTGGTCTAGTAATTTTCACCCTCATTTTTCCAACGGTCTTTGCTTTTTCTTTCTCCTGCTGATTTCCCAATGCTGTGACCACTGCAAGGTGTCGTCATTAACTACCATTTTGTTGATTGTTTATTTTGCTCAAAATTTTACTTACCTAAACTTCAACAAAAGTGGCAATTATCATGAATTGGCTTTTCCATGATTTAGTTCTTTGGTTTCTCTCTCCTTCTCTATGCCTTCGGTGTAATATTTCGATGTGGCTCCAGTGAAGTGAAAAAAATGACACTTTTTTCCCCGAAATTAAGTATGTATTATATTCCCAGTGCGATTGCAACGCAAACAGTGCGGAGCGAAAGCGAAGAAGATGCGAAGCGTTCTAGTCATGGCAAAGTGTAGCGCGAATTTAATAAAAATACATCGATGATGATGGCATTAAAATAAAATGACAGTAATCGTGTCTACTTAACCATATATTGTTATTATTGCTGGGCCTGTTATTTTTGTAGCTTTTATTACTTTACTCATTGTTTTTATTGTAACATTGGTATGTTTCATCATCCGAGAAAAGATATCGACTTTTATTCCTTACGTTTGGCTTAAATTCGTCGCCTTATGAGTCTTACATTGTATCTGAAATTTTAGAAGGCGTCAATTCATACGTCTTCATCTGAATTTTTGTATATGCTACGGTGTATGCGCTCGCTGTACTCTTGCTTACTTGTTCAACAATCTCTGTTTCATGATGGGGAGAATGTAGCATGTACATGTACATTCCATATCAAAAATACATACAGAGCATTGAAGTTGCTGGCTATGTAGTGCTACTGGTGAACAGATCTGTTTAACAGCAGCTATTGGTTGCATGCATATTCGCTGTGACGCGCGTTCGTTCATCTCCCGATTCTCACACACAGTGTTTGTCTCTTGCATTCACACGGAAAGAGAAAGAGAAAGAGAAGCACATACAACACACGAGATACATCGTCAGCGACGCGCGCGTGTCTCGTGTGTTTTATACGCTTCTCTTTCTGTTTCTGTGTGAATGCAAGAGACAAGCACTGCGAATTTCGTCAAGTGTATCAACGAACGTCAAAGCAGAATTCAAATTCAACGGTTTTCAAATCAAACACTATGCAATCGAATGTTTCCAATGTTTTTGTATTTTTAATCAAGTGCAAAGGAGAAATAGAACAAACCAATTAATGCTCAATTTGTTTTCTTTGAGTTTTGTTTTTATTTGTCTCATTCTTCATTTTTACATCGCACTGTCGTTTTTAAATTAAACGATAAAATTTGTTCATGATTTTCATAAAAAATAAATACTTCATTTGTTTACAATACAATCGCTTCATTTGTTTTCGTTGTTAAAGATTCAAAAATAAAAACGACAGTGCGATGAAAAAATGAAAAATGAGACAAATAAAAACAGAACACAAAAAAATAAATTTAACATTTCATTAGCTTTGTTCTTTTTCTCCTCTGCACTTGATTAAAGAAAACACAAACATTGGAAACATTCGATTGCATAGTGTTTGATTTTGTATTCTGCTTTGACGTCCGTTGGTTAACTTGACGAAATTCGCAGTGTTTGTCTCTTGCATTCACACAGAAACAGAAAGATAAGCGTATAAAACACACGAGACACGAACGGCAGCTATGTGTGTGCATGCACACACGCGTCGCTTACGATGTATCTCGTGTGTTGTATGTGCTTCTCTTTCTCTTTCTCTTTCCGTGTGAATGCAAGAGACAAACACTGTGTGTGAGAATCGGGAGATGAACGAACGCGCATCACAGCGAATATTAACGCAACCAATAGCTGCTTTTAAACAAATCTGTTCACCAGCAGCACTACATAGCCAGCAACATCAATGCTCTGAATACATACATACACTCACTTGCACGTACTCACGCACATGCATACACAGTATGTGGATGCTCGACGAAGAATATTCCGGTGAAATCAAGTTGATGTGAAGCTTTCATGTATACATTTTTTGATTTTATTCATTGTTGTCATCCTGTCTTGGTTTATTGAATCAAAGATCTAAATGTCATTTAAATTGGTGTATGCTATGTGTTGTCGTTGCTACTGCTATTGTTGTTGGTTTTGACGCTGTTGAAGAAAAGCTAAATAATAGAAAAAGGAAACATAATAAATCATTTGCCATATGGTATTGCCTCTAGCAAATCAAGTAGATATCAAAGAGATCCCTTCTTAATTGTTTCAACACCGTAAACAGTTGTCAACAAACGGCTTATGTGAATAGAAAATAGAAACGAAGAAGATAGAAAAAAAAACACGTATAACTGCAAGAGGAGGATTTAGGCATTCTTGTGAATAGGGTGTTTGAGAGTATGTGCGTTCAAGTTTGTGCGACACTTTGCAATACATGGTTACTCTTTTGAGCTTAATTTAGAGTTGAAAGAGCCCGATAAAGTCAGATGTGAATGGAAGAAAACAACATAACTCTTTGACTCAACTTCGTTATTATCTTCAAATAGTAAATTAAAAAGAAGATTTCTTTTTTTAATATTCTTCCCCAATTTTTTTTTTCTCATGCTATTTTTTCCCGTAAATGGATTAAATAGAAACAGGATAAGTACCCAAGCAATGTATAGATAATAAGCATACAATGATGATGGAATATAACATAGAGCGTAAATAAAACACGGTTCACCAAGTCTTAAGAAAAAGACATACTCCACTCGCACACATACGTTACCACCAATAAAATCAGTGGCAGCAGATAATCAGCACCATTTAACGATGACTAAAAATACTCATGACGATGCGGACAATGAACAAGGTAAGCCATTTAAATTTGGTAAAGTTTGTGTAATTGACAGTCGACCCTTTTTTGGGGTTTGGTTCCGACGGTAACGCATTACAACCACTTTTGCAACTCTTGAGAATATTTTTTTTCTCCTTGAAATTCGTACACTTTCAACGATCAGCACATAAATAGCAAGCAACGTATCGTTACGTGATGTGACACTTCCTATCTGTTCTCCGAAAAGCTTTTGCGTAGTCTTCCATCGTTTATGAACGGCAAATCATATTCATACAAACACTTCTTTCTTTCCCGCTCGGTCTCTATTCGCTGATCCTATCTCGTTGATATTGATGCTGAAGCAGATGCTGCTGTCTCAGTTGCCTCTCAAATGTCACAAAGAATTTATTGACAGTTTTATATGGTATATAATGCGATATAATTTTCGATGATGCAGGCGATGAAACGAATATTTTCTTAAATGTGATTAAAAAAAAACGATATTTGAACTCCCAACAGGCTTGATTACTTAGCGAGATTTTCATACCGCTTATGATTAGTGTTGTGCCAGAGGCATTGGTTGTCCCAGTCCGACACCTCGTCATGTTGTACAGATTATGTATTATGTTTGCTTAGTGTTTCGGTGTTCGCAGCATTATATATTTCACATTTGGGGAGGCTGAGCTAATGGCAGAAAAAGAAAATGTCGTTGTGAATGGCTGTATGAGAGTGTATTGTTGTTACCATATACCGGTTGCGTATATAGTTGACTGCGACCTGACTGTGAATCGTGACTGCATTTTTATGATATTAGTGTTTTTGTGTTTTATTCGGAGGTTTTTCTTCCCTTCTCTCATAATAATGTTTTTAGGTGCTCGGGAGCAAGTGGTTGCGTACACAGAAAGATCGCAAGTCAAACACGAGAATCGTCATATTCAACTGGTGCGCGAATATGGATTTCATCCACGTACCAAAGCATCCGTTAGCGATGGCGCGGTCTTGCCGCGGTTCGTACATTTTTGACGTGTTTCCATATAAAGGTGTCAACGGACAAATGGACGGACAGCCTACTTTTTTACACAAGTGACCAAAGTTATGTCTAAATATATGAATAATGTGGGAAGCTATATACCAAATTGTAGGTTTTTAGGTCCTCTTTCCATCGATATATAAATATTACAGTTATTTTGAAGATTTGGTGCCAATTTTGAGGAGAAAAAGCTGGGTAGGCAGATTTTTCAAACGGACGGATGGACAAATTTTGGTTTTGTCCGTCCAAAAAATTTCGTTAGAAAAATTTCAAAAACATTTTAATATCGATGGAAAGAGGATCCAAAAACCTACAATTTGGTATATAGGCTTTATAATATAGCTTTCCATATTATTGGTACAATTAGACATAATTTTGGCCACTTGTGTAAAAAAGTAGGTTGTTTGTCCGTTTATCCGTTGACACCTTTATTTCCATAATGCTTGTTACTTATTCTCTGGTTTGTATCCAACAGGAAATATGAACCATTCCCAGATAATATGTACGGACGGCCATTAGAAGAAATAGATACATTCATTTATGAAGAGGTTAGTTCAATTTTCGAAGCTTTTCGATAATACTCGTCACTTATTCTCTAGTTTGTGTCCAACATTTCGTTCATATTTTATGTATTTATTACGAAATTGATGCAATTTCTTCTTTCTTTTTGCCTTATTTTTGTTTCTTTTGCGATTACTATCGTCATTTAGACATTTTGTGTGGTATCGAAACGTTTCCAAAAGAACTACATTCATAGATTTACTGGTACGAAAAGCTTATTTTTATTTGAACCATGGAGCAAAACTCGTCGAATCTGCGTATATATAGCAACGAACCAATTTTTCGATTATATTGTCATGGCAACGATCCTATTTAATTGTATCTTCTTGGCTATGACAGAGACAGTGGAAGAGGCCGAGTAAGTATTTCGGATTTTTACAGGTTTCTATTCGTTGCATCCTTTACGTTCGATTCGTTTTGTGTATTCGTGTGTTACTCTCAGAAAACAGATGTAGGGTTATGTTAAACTTTCTGTGTTGACATTTATTTCAAAACAAGAATTTAAAAACCTTGTGGTGATTTCTGGTACAAAAAAATTTTCTAACTTTTTTTCACTACAAAGTCAAAAAAAAAAACTTTGTGGTGCTCTAGCGGCCAAAAATATATTTAGTACCGAAAATTACCACAAGGTTTTCAAGTTCTTGTTGTGAAATAAATGTCAACACAGAGAGTTTAACATAACCCTAGATTTGTTTTCTGAGAGTACGGACAGTGAATACATTTTTAAACCAATCGCAATATGGCGCCAACTGGCAGAGATTATGAACTGGATTTAATTTGTATCCAATCACAAGCACACTCAAAACCAGAGTATTTTTTTTTTGCACGGTGGGCTATTTGGTCATCGTTATTTCGTTTTACTTCTCTCTCTGTGTCTCACTCTCGTATTTCTACAGGTACATATTTTTGGCGATTTACTCTTGCGAAATGGTAATCAAAGTTATTGCCAAAGGTTTTGTTCTGAATAAATACACTTACTTACGTAATCCGTGGAATTGGCTGGATTTCGTTGTGATCACAAGCGGCTATGCAACAATCGGTATGGAAGTTGGTAATTTGGCTGGTCTCCGAACGTTTCGTGTGCTACGAGCTCTCAAAACAGTAAGCATAATGCCAGGCCTCAAAACCATCATCAACGCGTTGCTGCATTCATTCAAACAGTTGGCTGAAGTCATGACACTGACGATCTTCTGCTTGATGGTCTTTGCCCTCTTTGCTCTACAGGTAGTTATTCAGCGAGCAGGCGCTATGAGCGCAAATTTGATGAAAAAAAAGTACGTCGTCTGGAGACTGATTGCAATGTACTACTCTTTTACTCTTCTAATTGACACATACACGCACTCACTGTAGCTCACTATGTGTATGATTCTCTGTTTTCCAAAACAGTTTCCAGTTGGCGTCTTGTTTTTCTTGTTTCAGTGCGATTCAAGCCAAATTCGCTCAAAAAAGTCACCCCGCTCGAAAACGGATTTTGGAGTGAAAAAGGCAAAAGCACTGAATATGGCAGTAATCGTAAAACAAAACCATATTATGTGTTCTAAAAACTGTATGTGTTGTGTTTCCGTATTACTATGTTCAGGTGTACATGGGTGAGCTGAGGAACAAGTGTGTGAAGAATGTGCCAGACGGTTGGAATGTAACACACGAGGAATGGAGAATGTAAGTTGTTACCATTAAAACCAGTGCTAATATCAATTGTATTCGTAGCCAAAGTGAATGTAGTTACCGTGTCATTGTTGTTACCCCATTAAGAAGCGTCGCACCAAAAGAATTCCCGAAAGCTTTTGCTATCAATGTTACCCCAAAAATTGTCAGCACCTTTGCATTCCTTTCCACAGATTTAGACACAAGCATTTACTCACTCACTCACTCAGTGAATCTCACACTTCCTTACCAATTCTTATTCATTTACTCGTGCAGTTGGTAGTGTAAGTATTTTGTGAATAAATCATGTTTGTGGACGGCTTCGAATTGGTGGTCGCTTTTCTAAAATCGCTGACAATTCATTACACTTGTATCCGCTGTTTGACTTTCATTGGATTTCATTAGACGCTTTCGTTTATTCGGCTCCTTAGCTAAGCCGTAAGCTATAACTGTTCATTTTTATGTAAATTTTTTATCGCTAACAGGTGGATTAATGATACGGATAATTGGATATATGATGAGGAAGACATTGATAAACCAATGTTATGCGGAAATTTAACGGGAGCGCGACATTGCCCAAAAGGTAAAAAAGAGAAGCAACAAAAGTAAAAAAGAAACACAAAGATAAAATATTTAAAGTGTGCTTTTGACGGGTTCAAGCACATGAAAATTGCATTAAAAGCTCGCTTTAGTTTTTTGTTTTGCGTATTTAAAATGTCTATGATATACTATGCATAGCGGTATTTTTTTGAGTATTGCATATAGTGTACAGAACGCGTTGGAATATATGTAATAATTTGTTCATTTAGCTAAAGTCAAAGGAAATACGAAAGCAACCCTAAAAAAATAGCCAGCTAGCTACGTACTATATAAATATACATATACATATTTTGCTATAAAATTTTCATCCAATCTTCTCCTCTTTTTCGTTCTCTTCTTTTGTTTTTCTTTCCATTGCATTTCGCTTACGTGCGATTCCACTGTGAAATTGTATTTCATGTATAGGCTATACTTGCTTATGTGTTGGCAATAATCCAAATCATGGGTACACAAATTTCGATAATTTCATGTGGTCGATGTTAACAACATTTCAACTAATAACTCTGGATTATTGGGAGAATGTTTATAACATGGTTAGTATCAAATCCATCGTGTATGTCAAAATTGAATTGGTGTTTTGGTGCTGTGTTTAGCGTGCCACGCTAGGTAATGTGCATGTGTTCTCTTCCATTGTGAATACGTGAACTTGTGAATGTAAATTGGATGGCAATCGGCAGTGCCAAAGACGAAATAGGAATGTAAAACATAAGCACGTTACCTGGTGTGTTGGAAACCCCTCAGCATTCTGTGTCATTCTATTTCTCTCTCACTGTCCCTGTTTCATTCAGTGCGCATTCATTTATACATAGCGCATTAATATTAGTTCAACGGCTCATGCATGGCAAAACACAAATCAACAACATGGGCACACCTGTTATGTGGATGAGATACACTGGTGTTTGTCCACATTGACCATTGGCCATTGAATTACACTTTTGTGTGTGTGTGTGTGTGTGTGTGCGGCTGTTGCATGTGCCTAATATTTATGTGTGGAACATTAACAAAAATGATTTCTCTTTGCTATTTACTCGATGCATTTCATGTCATAGATTTTAGCAACGTCCGGTCCAATGAGTGTAACCTTTTTCACTGTTGTCGTGTTCTTCGGATCATTTTATTTAATCAACCTAATGCTGGCCGTCGTTGCGCTTGCATATGAGGAGGAAGCGGAAATTACACTCGAGGTATATACATATATCAATGAATTTCCTTGTTGATTGCCGATCTCACTTCATTATTTCCCTAATCAATTTTTCGCTCATTTAGCACTTATTTGTAGCGTCTAACCGTATTTTTATTTGAATTCTTTTCTTTACCTTTCATTCCATGTCACTTTGTATCGAGTAGGAACGTAAAAAAGACTTGCTCGATCATAGAGACGATTCAACATTTAGTTTTGATCCTACCACACTGACCGTTCGAAAGTTAAACAAAAATCATAAGAAAAAAATCGACTCACGAAAAGGTGTTTTGCTAGCCTCTTATTCTCGCAAAAAAACGCGGAAAAGAAAAAAAGGTGGGAAGGACGGTGAGAGCAATGGAAATAAAACACAACCACAACAGCAACAGCAACACCAACAACAACAACAACAACAACAGCAACAGTCGCAAGAGCAGTTACAACAACAACCGGTAGAGTCGAATGTTTTCAAATCCAACAAGTTTGAATGTTAAATAGATGTGTTTCTTGAAATATATAGAATACAAGCCGATCCATAACGCCAAGTCCTAATTCGAAATCCAAACAGATTATTGCACGGCCACAAGTACTAGCTGTACAACGAACTCGAGGTTTGTCATCATCTCAAGCCGTTCCGGTTCAAAATCCAAATGTTTTACATCCGTTAGGAGTCAATTATCGCGGCCAATTATTGCCAACAAGTCGACAAGCCAGTTCGAATACCAGCGAAGGTGGCGGTAATCGAGAATCATCTCTAGATGATTCAGGTGTTGTTGACGATCACGAGGAACAAGACATTGAATCAGCCAACTTGCAGGGAACCGATGTAAGGGACAACAATGAAAAATTGGCACACCCAAATGAGGCGATGTGTTGTTACATTTCGAATGAAGAGATTTTAGTTCATTTGAATTCCCAATTCAAATTAATGCAATGATAATCAATTTTCTATTTTATAGTTACAAAGAGATGTAACACCATTAACCACCGCACTCTCGCCGCACGATATTCAAATCATCAAATGCAATGGGAACATAACAAAAATCCAAAAAGACAATGCATGCACATATCAGCCTGAATATCTATCACACATAGTTATGTTAGGTGAGTTGGCGTTCGCAATAGTTTCTTGACCCAAAACTGTGATGCACAACAGGCGAATGTTATTTCATCGAATATACAATAGCGATCAAAAGTTTGGAGCCACCAGCTATGTTTTTATACAAAATGTAGTTTTTCGGAGTGTTATCACATAATGTACTGTGTATTTGATGAAAATCATGGTAAATTTGATGAAAATCGTCATTTGATGAAAATCATGGTAAATTTCCAGAAAAAGTATCGAATATTTTTGGAATTTTTGTTTATTTGATAACACTGCGAAAAATAACATTTTGTATGGGAAACAGTTGATTACTCCAAACTTTTGATCGGTAGTGTATAAATTTCGATAAGAATAGTTGTGCAGGAAGTGGCAAGGGAAAGGAGCTAAGATACTTGGATAGATTTCGGTTTCTGTGCCATTTCACTCATTACCAATTTCTTAGCTGCTTCAATTTGCCACTGTCATGGCACTGTTCGTCAATTCTCAGCCGCTCCGTATCAACCTATTTTATGTATTTTACATTTTATATTTATGATAGATGATCTTCCCGACCGCAACTGTAGCAGATGCGAGCAATGCTGTATCGACTACGATGGATGGCTTCATTTCCAAAATTGTTTGTACAAAGTATGAGACTGATGTCATATAATAAATACAAATTTTCAAACATTTCTGCAGCGCGCTATAAAGCTATAGCAGTTCGTTTGTTCGTTCGTTCGTTCTAAATATAATAGATGTCGAGATATATTTGTTTAACGTGTCTGGTTTGCTTTGTATTTTCTTTTCTTTTCCGTTTCGTTCGATTATTGCGTTTGGCATAACAGATAGTTAAGGATCCGCTATTTGAACTGGGTATCACATTGTGTATAGTTTTGAATACACTATTCTTAGCGTTAGAGCATCACGGAATGAGTGAGAGTATACGACAGGCACTGGATATCGGAAATAAGGTGAATCGAAATGAACATGAGCGAGCAATACATTTCAAGACAATGACAGAAAGGGTGGTTGTGTGTTGATGTTCGTCTGGCCATCCGTGCAAGTGCGAATTTTTGTTACCACGTTCTTGAATCGTTTTTGTGCAAATGTTACATTTGTTTCCTGTTTTTTTAAAACCTTTTTGTTTGCCTTCATATTGAAATGTATGACACCTTGCTATATTTTCTTCCTTTCTTCGCGTGTTTAGGTTTTCACATCGATTTTCGCATTTGAATGCATTGTTAAATTAATGGCACTATCCAAAGATTTCTTTGGATGTGGGTGGAATATTTTCGATTTGATAGTTGTTTCCGCTAGTATTTGTGACATTTTTTTGGAGCTGCTCGAAGGTTTAAGCGTTTTACGAGGCTTAAGACTGGTAAATTACCCGAATTCTCATTTTCTTCCCCATTTTACCAATTTCAAATTTTTCAGTGCAAATTTAAGGTTTGCACCTTCAACACCATCCATAAATAACACAAAATCATTACATGGAATGTATGTTTCTTGTTTATTTTGCCTCGTTTTTCGTTCTCGCTTTTAGTTGCGGGTGCTTAAGTTAGCCCAGTCATGGACGACTATGAAAGTTTTGTTGAGTATTATCATTTCAACAATTGGAGCTCTGGGAAATCTTACGTTAATCTTAGTTATAGTCATTTATATATTTGCCGTTATTGGAATGCAATTGTTTTCGAAGGACTACACACCAGAAAAGTTTTATCCGGATCCGGTGCCTAGGTAATATTTTATCGATTTATTGGATAGTTATCGGTACAATTCGCATACATATAATACATATGAATTGTCGCCTTTATGTTACAGTTTTATTTCGCGTGTCCACTTTAATTTTACCAATCCATATGATATGTCGACCATTCGACATGGAATCGATCAAAAATTGGGCTTTTCTCTATTGCACCCATTTATACTCTGCATGCGCATATGAAAAGAAAACCAACAAAATATGAGACCTGAATTAAAGCGAAATATTGAATATGAATTCGTATTTGCTGTCCGCTAACATAGATAAAAATGGTGATATCCTAAATATCCTAAAATTTTCATTGAAAATTCCGAACAAATGATTTCACATTAAAAAAAAACTAAACGATTCGTTCGAAAGTATTGGGCCGTCTAACACTAATCCCAGTGCGAACTGCGCACGCAAAGTTTGCAGATTATCTCTTTGGGTGCAATCACACTAAGAAACATGGATTGGAAACATCCCATAAGGTCCAATGTAATTTACAGAACAATGTCCACTTTTCGACCGATTTTACGTTGAATAATAATCAATACATATATAAGTGTGCGTTGTTGCTAAAGGTGTATGAATAATTATTGTGGCTACATAAAAAAAACGAAAATCGATTTACGTGATTGAAATATCATAAAATGCATGAATTCACTTTTAAAACTGTTTATTTCTGTTCATTGTTCTCAAACAAACACAGATGGAATTTCAACGATTTTTTTCACTCATTCATGATGATTTTTCGAATTTTGTGTGGAGAATGGATTGAACCTCTGTAAGTGCCAAATTGAAGTTTTACACTTTTAGAATTTATGAAATTGAATTGTTTTTATATTAATGATTATTTTAGCTGGGATTGCATGCGTGCCGAGGAAAAGGTATGCAATGATAATTGTGCTTTTCAATTTTTGTTTAATTCGCATGAAAATAATGAATATATTCATAAAAATGTATATATACTTATACATGGATTTTTACAGGATGGGGCATCGACGTGCTTTTTGATCTTTCTTCCGACTCTTGTTATGGGAAATTTTATGGTTTTAAATTTGTTTTTGGCCTTGTTGCTTAATAGTTTTAATTCCGAAGAGTTGAAAAATAGAAAGGAGGTAACCATTATTGTTATCTTTCATTGAAAATTTATTAAATATTGGTACATTTTTGTATGCGGTATACGTTCATAGGAAGTTGGAGATGAGTCTCGTTTGGCGAGAAGCTTCGAACGCATTCGCTCTATAATACGAAAACAACGTTTGGGCCGACGAAACCAAAGTACAAAGATGTCAGAGGTCGTGAGTGAGGTGATTAAGCGCGAGAAAAAGCAAAAGCTCCGCAAGCAATATCCAACAACACTTTATCGACGAAGCTACGAAGTAAATTTCAATTTGACCTCATTCACATTAATTTATCCATCCGATTGATGGATTTGAAACTCATTTCTTCTAATATTTAAATTTTAGGAATCTTTGAAACGTCCGATTTCCGGATCTGATTTCGGGTACGAAATTCCGTTGAAAGATCCACATTGCCTGGAAGCGATATTGTCAAAAGAAGATTTGGCTAGTGAACAAACTACAGACATTGACGCCGATACAGCGGACATCGATAAGTAATTGGCAAAATTACTGTCACTGATAAATATTCGTTTGCAATTGATTGTTATTTTTGTGAATTTGTAGAACGATGTTCAGAGAAACGCATGTTTCAATCGAAAATGAGAGAAAATTGTTGCAGCAAATGTCTTCCGGCTGCGGAACTCAGCAAAATGATAGCAAAGATGAGCCAACATACGCTGAATCTTTAGAACTACAGGTGTTTAGCTATCCTACCCAGCCAAACGATGGCGATCCAGAGTCATTTGTGTTATTGCCGAGTAGCTTGAAGCCAGACAACTTGGATGCCGATCAGGCTATCGAGCGAAAGGCAAGCACACCAACGATTTGTGGATCCGTGGAGAATATCTCTCAAATTCCAAAGTCGTTAAAATTGAAAGAAAATTCAAATGCAGTTAATAAATCATGTAGTTATGCGAGCCCAATATCGCAATGTTCAAAATCGGAGCGAAAATTGAGTGTGAGTGGCTCAATAACCCACAATGAATTCAACATTCCACGCTTAATGAGTGATCAATCGATAAATTCCATTTCAAATGATCATGAGGAGATGTTTTCGCAACAGAATCTTCGTGACGAACTGCTCAGCTGTGATAAAAAGGAACTGTTTCAATTTCTAAACGATGACTTCGACAACAGTCACAATTATTTCAGCGACACCGTTGGCTACGGCAGTGCAATAATGGACCCAGACACCGATAGTCTAATGTTCGATTCGAAACGGGATACCAGCTTATTCTCATCCGTTCGCAAAGCATCGACCACAAGCAATAAATCGAATCTAAGCTACATTTCAAATTCAATATTCGAAACGCTTGAACAAACTCGCGGTGGTAGTATTAGCGAATCGATTGATCGAAAATCGTTGAACCAAATCAAAGTGGCCGAAACGTATCCGCATTGTGATGAATTGGAACCGCTGGTGCAGGATTCCGAATTCGAAAATATAATTGCCAGTTTTGAGAAAGAATTATCGAGCATCAAAAATTCAACATGTTCATTGCAACGCCAACTATCGGCCATATCACGTACGCCAGATGTTCAAGCCAAAGGATCATTTGATAAAAGCTCTTCCACAAACACATACGAAGAAATACTTCCAATGAGACAAAATACGAACAGCAATCAAAGTACGCGCGACAGTGTTAAACTGAAGCGTCGCAGCTTAGAAAAGCAAATGAAAGTCGACGATGATTTCAATATTTCACACGAAATAAAGAAGATTTGTGATAACATGCAGGCACCTTTTGCCGATCCGCATATCAAACGAGGCACCAATGCCGATCTCAAACAAAGCACTAGCTACTCAAGCGGTTCGACCGGTAAAATAAATAGTTTAGTTCTTTCACCGAAGCCGCGCCGACGAAGCGAATTCCATAGTAGCCTTGACCGAATCAAGCGGTCGAGCCTTATCGATCGCGTCGATGAATCGTTGCTGGAGGCCGAGCCGAATGCTTGTCAACAAACCGAGCAACAAGAGTTACTGTATCACACGCGCAGCGAAAAACTTCCACGAAAATATTTGAATGCCGACATGAATATTGAAAGTTTATCATGGAAAAGTACCGGCAGCTATGAGCATTTGATGTGTCATACGGAAAATAAGGAACTTCCGAAAAAGATTCGATTTCAAAAAAGCTCCGAAGATAATGAATCATCTTTTACGGACAAGGAGAAAAGCGATAGAAATACAGGTGATGGTACTAACGGAGATGAGAGCAAAGGTAATTTACAATGAATAAAAAAAAAAAAATTTGGTTTGCTGCCCATGCTTTATATAGATATAGAATCATTGAATGAATCAGCCAAAAATCATTTTGAATCTTCATTCAGAATATCAGATTGAACATAGTTGATAGAATAAATTTAAGCTTTGTGGTAAGCATACCTTGCGATATCGTTTTGCATACGCTTCATCGATATCGCAATATATGGTAGTAAGTATGTTGTAAATAATGCTGCATCACATCGCTCATACAAAACAATAGAACCTTGTACTTGTACTCAGTTGGCGATAACGCAGTGGAATGGGCCTTAAATGACACCCATTGCATATGGTCTGTATTTTATTGTTGTTAACAACATTAAGGACATGCAACTTATTACGTACAGCATAATTTACACAAAGCACAATTATTCATACCAAATTATATTTGTTCGGATATTCTGTGCTTAAAACTGCAAAATACTCATTTAAAAAAAACTTATATAAAGTTTTGCAAATGATTTTCTACCTAAAAATCTTCTCGTCAATCCATATATACAATACGCACAGAGAAGTGACGTTTCGTATATTTCAGTTTCGTGCTGGAAATATTGGAAATTTCAGTCAAATTTGAGAATAAGACAACCCCGACTGGCATTTTTTTTTTTCACATATACGTATTTGAAAAAAAAAAAAAAAGAAATTCAGTCAGGGTTGTCAAAAGTTCAACATTAACTGATATTCCGATATTTTCAGTGAAGGGCTGTACTGTACAATGTCAGAACATATTGATCTGTGTGCACATACTATCCTATATCAATCCACACCTTTTGATATTATCAATCAAAATCTTGTACATATTTTAAAGTTTCCAGTTCGTCTTGCTGAAACTCATTATGTACTGCTATGAACTGAAATAATTCAACACTAACTTTTTTTTTTTTTAACCTGCATTTTGAAATACATATAATTATTAATAATTTCGATTCTACTATCTATATGCTACATAGTCAGCCTGTATATACGACCGCTTCTAGGTATATTTCTCTCTTTAGCTCATTTTTCGTCCTCTATTTTTGTAGATAAACAAAATGCCGTAGCACTTTCAGATAAACCATGGCATTGTTTAGTATCATATGTTGATGATTTAACCGTAGGTGGAAGACGTAATTCAAAGGGGCTATACGATGATCCAATGTTATTTCCATCTTTTGGAAAACGTAAAGCTCCAAAGGTACCTGATGATTGTTTCCCACAAAAGTGCTATGAAAGGTGAGAAACGAATACTAAGACATCACAAACAACCAAACAAATGAAATGAAAGGAAAAATGCAATCAATCATAATATTAATGATATCTGCATCTATTAACAATTTAACAATTTCTATTGCAAAGATGCCCGTGTTGGAAAACTTTTTGTGGTGCTGTTTGTCAAGAAAGGTGGCTAAAATCTCGAACGGCGGTTTTGTCGGTCGTCGACACACCTGCATTCGAGTGGTTTGTACTCGTGCTGATATTTGCCTCGAGCATCACACTTTGCTTTGAGGATATTTACCTGGATTCGAACGTGACACTTAAACGACTGCTCTATTGGACGAATTTTGTATTTAGCATGGTATTTGTGGTTGAGATGGTGTTAAAATGGATGGCATTAGGTTTTACAAGATATTTCACCAGCTTTTGGACCATTCTTGATTTCATCATTGTCTTTGTGAGCATCAGCATTATGCAGAAAATTTTTGCTAGAAATTCATTCAATATTCGGTAACACAATAAAAAAAAAAACCTAACACTTTTACTGTTCGAATAGGTGTCAGTCTTTTCGCTGCTAATTGAAGAGAATGAAAACTTAAAAGTTCTACGATCGTTGAGAACATTGCGCGCTCTGAGACCGTTGCGTGCTATCTCACGCTGGCAAGGAATGCGAATTGTTGTAAATGCGCTAATGTATGCCATTCCATCCATTTTCAATGTCCTGTTGGTGTGCTTGGTTTTTTGGCTCATTTTCTCAATCATGGGCGTGCAATTTTTTGGTGGGAAATTCTTCAAGTGTGTCGACGATGAAGGCGTATTGCTTGACGTTTCGGTAATGATATATATATATATATACTATATATATATATTTGTGTTTGTATGACAAGAACCAATGTTAGCATCAATTTTTTAATTTTAGATTGTGCGAACGCGTTTGGAATGCTTGGAGAAAAACTATACGTGGATCAATTCGAGAATTACATTTGATCATGTCGGCATGGGCTATTTGGCTCTACTTCAGGTGGCAACATTTGAAGGATGGATGGAAGTGATGGCTGATGCAGTAGATTGTACGGGAGTTGATTTGCAACCGCAACGGGAGGCTAATCTTTACGCGTACATTTACTTCGTTATTTTCATTGTTTGCGGATCGTTTTTCACATTGAATCTATTCATCGGTGTCATCATTGACAATTTCAATATGCTTAAGAAAAAGGTAAACATTTTTATTGTACACAAATAAATTGCAATTCAAATAATTCAATGCCAATCATTGTGATTTCTTTCACTTCACCTCGACACTCTTCACTTGACACTTTCCAGTACGAGGGTGGAGTTCTGGAAATGTTCTTGACCGAATCACAAAAGCACTATTATACAGCGAGTAAGTAAATCATTTTCAAAATTTTGACAGTGCTTTGAAAACACACTTGTAACTTTTACATTTGAAATCTTACTTTTAAGTGAAAAAGCTGGGTCGTAAGAAACCACAGAAAGTGATTAAACGTCCTTTGAATACATTTCTCGCAATGTTTTACGATCTTTCCAATTCTAGAAGGTAATTGCACCAGCAACTTTTCTTCTTCGCTCATTCTATTATTTGGAAAATCGAATTTGAAAACAAAAAAAACAAAAAAACTTTTCCATTGCAGATTCGAAATAGCGATATTTGTTCTAATTTTTTTAAATATGCTGACTATGGGAATCGAACATTACGACCAACCGCATGCTATATTTTTTATATTAGAAGTGAGCAATGCTTTTTTTACCACGGTGTTTGGCTTAGGTAAGTTGTTGTTAAACCTAAAAATGAACTAAGATGCTAGAGTGTTCAATTCTTTGAATTCTCTCTACTTCTCTTCTGCAGAGGCAATCGTAAAAATCGTTGGCCTAAGATATCACTATTTTACGGTTCCATGGAATGTTTTCGACTTTTTACTCGTGCTTGCATCGATTTTCGGCATTCTAATGGAAGACGTTATGATTGACTTGCCAATATCACCAACATTGCTGCGTGTTGTTCGGGTGTTTCGTATTGGTCGAATTCTACGCTTGATCAAGGCGGCCAAGGGGATACGAAAATTGCTGTTCGCTTTGGTTGTATCGTTGCCGGCCCTATTTAATATTGGGGCACTTTTGGCACTGATCACATTCATCTATGCCATATTGGGAATGTCATTATTTGGTCATGTTCGATTACAGGGTGCACTCAACGATATGGTTAATTTCCAAACATTCGGCCGAAGTATGACGTTATTGTTTCGTTTGATGACGTCAGCCGGATGGAATGATGTTTTGGAATCACTAATGATTCAACCTCCAAAGTGTAATCCATACTTTAATAATCAAACGAATGGCGATTGTGGCCACCCACTTTTGGCAATCACATACTTCACCAGCTTCATTATAATTAATTACATGATTGTCATAAATATGTACATTGCAATCATTTTGGAGAACTTCAATCAAGCGCATCAGGAGGAGGAAATCGGTATTGTGGAAGACGATTTGGAAATGTTCTACATTCGATGGAGCAAGTATGTATTCATTTAATTCCGTTGCCACACAATTTACTTCATTCAAAAAAATTTCATTTTATTTTAGATACGACCCACATGCCACGCAATTCATTCATTTTTCCCAAGTATCCGATTTCCTTTCATCATTGGATCCACCGCTGGGCATTCCCAAACCAAATACAGTCGCTTTGGTGTCATTCAATTTACCGATTTCATCGGGCAACAAGATCCATTGTCTAGACATTTTACATGCTTTGGTGAAACACGTTTTGGGTCATGTTGAAGAAACCGATAACTTCAAGCAATTACAGGTAATTTGAAATCCCGGACAGTAAACAAGCAAGAGTCTATTTTTAAAAATTGATCATTGATTCATATAGGAACAAATGGATGTCAAATTCAAGAAACAATTCCCCACACGTAAAGAATTAGAAATCGTTTCATCGACTCGAATTTGGAAGCGCGAAGACAAAGCAGCAAGAATACTACAGAGTTCGTGGAGAGAATATCTGAGGTAAGAAAAATAATGTACGAACCAATAAATGGGAAATATTGATTTTTGTTCGATTTTCGATGAAAAAGAATGAAGAAAGAGCGTGAACGTTCACCGTTGTCGCAAGAAGATGAGACTCAGACTTCGTCTCCGGGCGGTTGGCACAGTAAATTATCAGCTTTGAATTTTTTGCACCTGCAAGTTCATCGGCGTGGCACATCCGCGAGCAGCCGAGCATCTTCTCGCAAATCATCCAGAGCATCGGACGCTTCTGACTTGAGCGAATTGGCTGGACCTTGGCTCAATTTGCCGTTGATGTTAGTCGGAGGTGCTGGTGATATGCTCAAAGATATGAAACCGCCAGAAGATGACAAAAAGTACGCAATCAAATCGTTTTTTTTTTTTTTTTTCAATTTGTAGCACACAGTCGAAGTATGATTGAGCACTTTCGATTTCTTTTTTTTCTATTTAGCTCTGATTCAGGAAGCCGGACACCTCGTCGAAAAAGTTTCTATAATTTCTTCTTGCGACATCAAGATGCTGTGGATGATTCAGTAGCATCGCCATCGGTGAATCGGAAAGCAGGAAGCCCGAACGCGTCGACAGGTCGACCAGTATCAACCACTAGTTCATTCGACGAAAAGCAAATGCCACAACAACTGCAACAGCAGCAACAATTGCAAACCGCAGTCAGTACGAAAACAAAACGTGCCACTAGTTTTGTGCGCAAGAAGCCACCATTCGAACGCGGCCTTTCCGCACAAAGCGCCCTCCGTATTAATAAGAACGCTCATGTTGGTAAGTGATTGAAATCGATACTGGAATCGTAGTTAGTCTTGATGTGTGTGTGCACTATATGTGAGAGCAATTTTTTAATTAGTTGATGGTCCTTCAACCACATCTTCAACCAAAAAAGATGTGAGCATTTTGGTTACAGAACCATCTCCTGATATTCCACCAGCGTCGTCAATAAGTAGTCTTCAAATTGATCCACCTAGTACGTTGGTTCATGTTTTAGTGCACAGAGAAAGTGAAGAATATCAAACCGACTTGGAAGATAGTAACCCCGACAAAGGTATGTAGAGTGTTTTATGTTCGTTATCTGACCGATATTCCATATTGAAATCGTTTCCAATTCTGTCAACAAACAATTGAATCACAATTGAATTGACTATCTGTCGTGTCTACGCACTATACACGTTTTAAATCTTATTCTTATTTCCGGTGTGGATATTTTATACATATTTGGTTGTTTTTGATTTTAATTTTGATTCGATGTTGTTTTATCCAATTCAAAATTCTTTCATTGAATCAGATGAACAAGCGAAAAGGTTACAAAAATCACCGACACCATCACAACTACGTGTAACACCCTGCGAAGCAGCAAACGAATTGGATCCAGTTGGCAATCAAGAGAGCATTGTCAAAATTATGGTTGAAAGTCCAAAAACACCGCCAAATGTGGAATATGAATTTGGCGTTGCCTTTCCTCAAACAGCAGTCGTCCGAAAAAAGACTGAATCAACACAAGAAATAGAACAAACTGATGGTCAAACTTCGCCGACATCAGTCACATTGGTAACGGATAATATACAAGAGCCAATTGATGTAAATATTCCCCGTGACACTACGAACATTTTCTATGCATACGAAGAAACGGAAGTAGACAATAGTTTTCAATCTCAGCAACAGCAACAGCAGCAGCAGCAGCAGCAGCAGCAATCCCAGCAACCGCTTGATTCTATCAATACTTCAATTCCAGAAATCAATACATCCGATACAATACCCAACAATCAACCAGTTAACATCGAAAATGATGACACAATAGATCCTCCGGAAACGAATGAATCCGAAAACCAATCAATAATCCAAATCAGTAGTGATAATCCCGAATCAAATAGCAGCTGACCAACAAACTAAACCAATACCAAAATTAATTGACAAGTTGTGAGCGAATACACACCTTTTAACATATATCACCAAAAAAACAATCTACATAGTTGACAATCTTCTCTTGAGATCTTCATAAAGTAGCAAGTGTTAAGTTTAGGAACGCATTTTTTTTATTGAATTCATATAAATATAATGAGCTGCAATTCAGATAAAAAGCTTTTTTATCTGATGAATGTGATTTTCAACGCGCGAAATCTTTCTCCCCCATACTCGTGCATATTTTGTTTTAGATGCATTTTTTTAAATAAAAACTTTTAGTTTTCAATAGATCAACAAAATCTTCGGTGTGTATTACAACTCTGCAACGCTAACATTTTATGCCGTTGAGAGTATAACACATTTTTATTGCATTATAAAATGGAAATGAATGAAAATTCGTTTCGAATACTTTTTAAAAGTAGGAAACTAAAGCAAAAAAAAAAAAAAACAGATTTACTAGCGACTGCAGAGAATTACATAATGCAGGTTGGCCCTAACCTTTTTAAAAGTTCTTAAAATCATTTAGTAGCATATCTAACGGAAGATTTGCAGGAGCAAAAAAAAATATAACACAACAAAAAGTTTCCGATATAAATCACTGCTTGAAACAAGCGAGAATGTGATGAACAGCGCACAGGTTGATGGCGGTCGAAAAGAGCCACGAGTGAGCAAGAACAACAACAACAACAACAACAACAAAACTGAAATAAAAACGAATTTGTTATGTATTTAATAAAGGGAATTACCATACATTATTGTTTAATTTGTTATGACGCATGAAGAACAACAACAACAAATCAATTTGGAGTTTTTACAAATTATAACGTCAATATTTATCGAAAATTTAATCAAGTTGATTAACAACGTATCCGATAATTGTAATAATAATAATTGTAATATAAATGAAGTTGAAAACATCAATCAATTGTTCCAAATGATTGCATAAGGTAAAACAATTGCATTGACATTGTTAGTTTCATATTTACGAATTTCGCGCTTATGTTCTGCGTGTGACAAATGAAAAATAAAAATTAGCAGTGAATCGAGAACAAAGAGAAAACAGCCCACATACACATGAAACGATATTATCTTCTGGACCAAATTCCTTATCGCATAAAATTTACTATATTTTTCCCTCAAGTATACACGATAACACCTCCTCCAACTAAATAGCTTGTGACACCAAAATTCATTGACTTTTGCTATTTCTCAGCGCCATTGACTCACACATTTTATTGTCACTGAACATCCTCTAAATAAAAATGCCAGAAATTGCAATTAACGCAACTGCGACGAAAAAAAAAAAAACAAGTATATAGAACTTGAGCGTATTCGTATTCGCATTCTCGTTATGCTATTCAGCCTACGCTCCAGTTTTAAACTATTTCACTTACGATGCAGGAAAATAAAGACAAAATTATTAAAAATAAATAACAGAAACAAAAACACACAAAGAAAATTCATAGAAATTCTCTGGTTATTTTTGAAAAATCGCTACGCAGAGGTATGAATTGTAACAATAATAATAGACAAATTTATAGAAATATATTTAATAAAATTTTTGTCAGTTTGACATGGATTCGTGTTCAATTAAAAAGAGATAAACAAACACACACAAACACACTTACATAGAACAAATGATCGAATTAACAAATTTTTTTTATTAAAATTAAATTAAAATATATATAGTATATATACATTGAAATGCGCCATATAAAAAGAAGTTACAAAAGTACATAGAAACTTAATCGATATAAATCTATCAACTGATTAAGTAGGAAACCAAATAGACGACATAATTTCAAGAAAACTAATTTATTTGAGGCAACAATTGTAGCTTTTAGGTTAAAAAAAAAAAAGCGCACTACGCATAAATTCCAATAAGTCAATAGTGAGGATTGAAAACAACACACACACACACACACACACGCAATGAATCGTAATATTTCAAAGAGAATGCAGTCATACGATTCAATGTGTGAAACAAATTTATAGCAAACAAAAAACGATTCAAGAGAGTTCAACTATTTTAGATTAACTAAAGCTATTAGTATTAAATACATTTCAAAGAGACATCAATTTTACTCCTCCGATTCATACCGTTAGGTTTTTTTTTTAGGAATAATGCTCAATGAACTCAGTTGCGTATATCGTTTCCCTCACCTTTGGAACAATAAAAATAAATGATGATTTCAACACAACCAAAATCTGAAATCCAATAACTGAATGGATGCACTCTCACAATACTCAGAAGCAAATTCACGCTTCTGATTTTTTTTTTTTAGGTGACAGAAGAAATGGAAAAGCAATATGAATATCTAGTTGCATCTAGTATCTAATATTTATATATATAATAGTATAGTCTCGATTATCCGTCACTCTATTAACCGTCACTTCTGTTAACCGTCATCGTTCGCCTACGCATATTTTTTTCGTTTTCGGTTCAAAGTGAATTGACGATGTTCATATTGAAACAAAAAAACTCTACTTATCTCTGTATTCCATTTCGTCCATTCAATTGTTTACTTTGAAAAGCAAAAACACACATTTCTATACGATCTGCTGTGTTTATTTTTATTTGGAGATTTTTCATAAATCGCAACGTTTTTTTTTTTTTCACTTCTCTACCATATTTCGTTTTTTAAAGAAAAAGTCTTTTTCAATTATCCGTCAACATGCAGGTCCGGTGCCTGACGGATAATCGAGACTCAACTGTTGTCAGAACTCATTGAATTGGAGCGAAAGTGTATAAATCAAGAATATATAAAATTGGATAAAAAAAAAATAATTTATATTTGTAGCAAATGAGAAACATACATTTTCATAACATTTTATGAAAGAGAACAAAACAGAAATAGTGTCATGTCATTTAAATGACAAAGCAGACAATTAATGAGTCGTTCCTTTTCATGCCGCTTCATAACGAATAAAAAAAAATGAGCATTATTATAAATATACAGAGAGTTGATTGTGATCGCACGTTTCAGTTGGTGTCCATGTAGACAAAATAATGGAAGACAACAAAAAAAATAAACAGAAGAGAGATGGAACAATTAGAATCTGATGCATAAACTATATAAAATGAGCGGTTATGTTGCTATGTGAGCACATTAGCCATGACCTTTGGCAACTTGTCGAGGAGGCGACCACAATGCAATGTACGTGTGCGCATACACACATCGCAACAAAACACATACTGCATACCAAAACCAACCAAGAACAGATGATGATCGAATGAATAAGCGGTACGAAGTCGAGATCGTTCGCTGCTGATAGGGCCTCTAAACTTAGCGACTCGACAGCAAGTAATTGACAAGTTTCTAACTAAGAAATTGGAATCTACTGTACAATTTGGCAATCTCAAATTGAGATTCTCAATTGCAATCTGTTATATATTCTTTTCTTATTCTCATTTTCTGTTCACTCGACGCCGTATACAAATTCTAAATTTCCCCAGTTCTTAATGGCAAACACAATTTACGCCTTACGCCCAGAGTCGTCAACTAATTTGCATCCGATCAACGATCAATTTGTCTACTTGGATAACAACTACTTGGATTTTTCCTTTTTCTGCCCATTGAATCCTGAAAAAATAGAATGAAAACACAAAAAATTACTTAAGAATGCATTAGCAATGATTTAAAAAAAAAATATGTTGCTACTGTTGTTCGAAGCAAAAAGCATTTTCTCAATACTTTTGTTTGTTGCACTTTCCCGTTAGAGTGTCAGCCGCTTTGTGTACAATCGACGATATACGAACGAGTGAGATTCACGTCTAAACACCAAACGAAAAAAAAAAAACGATATGAGGAAATTTAATAAGATATTATGTATTTTCTACCTAAAAACATTGACTAAATTACTTAATTTGAAAAAAAAAGAAACCAAAACAATCAGTATAAATCGAACAATATTCAAAACAATTGACTTGCTTTTTCAAATGCTCAGATCAATATGAATGTGCAAGCGGCATCAGTTTGACACATCAATTTGTGTCGAAATAAATACCGTACACACAAATCCATTCACTGTGTGGTTGTGACAACTCTCCTCAACGCGCCAAATTTCACTTCGTGACGAAATTCATATACAAGTGGTGTCGATGAAAAAGCTCATGCAAAATACATTCTCATAACGGAACCAAAGTAAACAAATGCAACACCAAGCCACAGTAACAAATGAGTCCGTTGTGTTGTGTTGCGTTGTGTGAAATGGAAGAGAAGTTTCGGTTCTGCTCTTTCTTTCCAATTCACGCGCCCAAAATGAAACACATACACAAATCGAAACTCTTGTAAGAAGTTTGTTTACACTTCGATTGACACAGAGTAGTTGGAATGGATGTCATTTCAAATGTTTGAATTTGACAGATGCTGCGTAGCGTTCCGAAAACACGGGAAGTGTGAATATCGATTGCTCCGCTGTATGAACACTATTAATTGCTACAGAATTCTTTTTATTTTAATTTAAAATCTACCATTTCTCTGGTCCAGGTTATGAAAAATATACATATTGGTTATTTTATTTGAAGAAATTTTATTCAATAAATAATTAAGCGACAATCATCGACAACAACTAAAAATTAACATATTTTATAGCACCTAGCACATTTTAATTATTAGATGACAGCGGTTTTTCGGGCAGAGCCATAAGTCAAGATAATGATGGTCAAGAGAGATTGTTGGGATGGCATTTATATCGAAACAGACAAAGATACCGCACATTGCTTGAGTAAATGGGTTATGCATAAGCTCGTAACTAATATTGATTGAAGTATATATTTGTTTTTATCAAAAAGAATTTGCTATCTCGTTCGATTCGGACAAGAAATTCCGTTTCGTTATCAACTGTTGCTCTCTCGAACTTCGAGCTGTCGTCTAAACAAAGTGGAACACAAAAAATGCTACTGAAGCTAATAAAATGCAAGTAAAATTAATTAGAGTATATACTCTTAAAAGCACATTCATTCGAAAAGATTATATTACGCAAAATGCATTTGGATAGTGGTGGAAAAGAATGAATGAAAAGTGCAGAAAGAAAGAATGACTTTCTTCTAGCCTCACATTTGCACTGTCCTCGTTTTGTTAAATCTAATTAATGCTATAATTTGTTTTTTCATCTCTCCAACAAATTGGCAACACATTTTCATTGTAGCGAAAGCAACATTGATAACATTTAGAATTAAATCGTTCCATTTGTTAACTATTTTCAATATTTCTTCGCTTTTTTCTAAAGCGGCTCAATTTACTGAACATTCCAAGCGAAAAAAGTAAAACGAGACCAAAACATATAATATGTAGATATAGTTTTGACTGGGTTTTTGGGCAATCAGTGATGAACATTTGCACACAAATGCAATCACACAATTTTTGTAGATGTACAATACTATCACTTTCTTAAACATACACACAACCAATTACACTTACACACAAAATTCAATATTCGGAACAAAGCCAACGCACACATGATTACATCTTTTTTCGATGCAGGAGAGATCACTAGCGATGTATATAATGCTTATAGCACCACTTTACTGACGAGAGAAAACAAATGAAAACCAGAATAAAACAAAGAATACAAAATTATATGGGATTTATTGGATTTATTTCCAAATGTGGATGACGATGACGACGAAGACGTGACAATTTCACTCTATCTCAATTTAACATGGTATCTACACTTAAATTCCCTTTTTTTATCTACACTCAATCAAAATAAAACAAAATTAGCAAAAAATATTATATCATTTCTATGAATATTCTAACAATGAACGCCTTTTCTAATTTAGATATCAAAATTTATTGGATTAATTTTGTGTTTTTTTTTTTTGTAACGAAAAACTTCAACGAATTGTTTTCGTGTCCATTTTATTTTGTATATATTTTTTCAGTTTAGTTTGAAATCTTCAATAGAATTGCATAAAATGCGCAGACAACGATTTTATCTATCCTAATTGAATTATTTTATATGGGGATTTATTTAATTTTATGCTTAAACTTTTGTGCCCGAATCATTTGAATTCGTTTTGATTCATATAGATTACACACAATTATGGATGATGAATGAATAGATAAAGAGAGAGAGAGAGAGAGAGAGAGAGAGAGAGAGAGAGAGAGAGAGAGAGAGAGAGAGAGAGAGAGAGAGAGAGAGAGAGAGAGAGAGAGAGAGAGAGAGAGAGAGAGAGAGTGAAATGAACACATTTCATTATAGTAAAAACAAATCTGAATGATATATATTAATACAAAATTGTTTATTTTGAAACAATTGCAAAATTTTTTTTTAATGTAAATTGTATAATACAACAACTTAAAACTGCTTTTTCCTGCGCGATAGCTGATTGAAGTTGCATTATAGTGTATTTTGACAATTTTCGCCTTAAAATTCAATAAACGAATGAGTGTTATTTACGTTAAAATAAAAGTTAAATCTAATAAAACATTCAATTAGATTTGCTAAAATGCAAATCAATAATATTTTGACGAATAACAGCGAACCAAATTCCTCAGAGTTAAATATTTCTTTCGCGTATTGTGCCATTTCTTCCCCCATCTCGAACTGTCATTCGACAATTATAAGGACAATGCAGAATTTAGAAAAAAAAAAATGATTGAATTGATTGTAACGGCTCGGTTGCAGCTCTCTCTCTCACACACACACACACACAAACCAGAAACATAAAAACAATAGAAAATTTGACAATATGCCAACATTATCAGGCACATCACCAAACGAAATGGAAACAATGTAAAAAAAAAATCGTTTTCTAAATTAAATCAGGATGTTGAGCAAGTGTTCAGCGATCTTTTGCTTAAGTTTTGATTTAAAACTCTTCATTAAAACTGGCCTATTTGTGCGAACAGAGGCACGTATTAATAATCTTTTTCTCTTAAAAAGATTCACTGTAGCGTGAATAAATCTCATCTAAAATGAATGTGAGAGCAAACAAAATTATTTGAAAAAAAAAAAAAAATCTTATAACTATATTAGTTTAGGCTCCATACCATGTATTTGTATAGAATGACCACGCAAACCAATCATTTTACTGTATTTGAACCCAAAATAGCGAAAGGTCTCTTTACAGACTATTAATGTCTTCACAAAATAATTAAATAGCATCCTTTAATTTTAAAGAAAATGCATCAAAAGACAAATGAAAAAACCAAAAATAACATAAGCATAATTAAGAAAAGCGATTGATTCGTGTTTCATTTGCTTGTGAGGCCGTCCCAATGTTTGATCGTTCAAAACTGATCGCGCTTGAGAACGATCTCCACCTACAAACGAGAACACGAATCCATCGAAATAATAACAATAATGATAAATAATTAAAGAAAAAAAAAAAAAAAAACGAACGTCAAAACCACTTGTAAAATCGAATGAAAATAAATTTATTCCAATATACATAATTCATCATTATGAAACAAACAATCAATAATATTTTAAAAATAATAAAATCATAATCATAGATCAATACTCTGAGTTTTTTTTTTTCTTTTATCCATTTCTTTTTCGCACATTTTTGAATCTGTCTTTCTGGAGGTAGTTATTGCAATTCTAAAATGGGTAAGCATTTGTGAATAATTTCAGATTATGTTTTTTATGCAGCCAACTACAATAGAACAGGAGAGAGATCCAGTGATATTGTATAAGTCGTTTTCAAATCAAACCATTACTGATCGTCCCATAACAACAAAGCGCTATAAATACAATTGACTGAGATTTTCCAACAGTTTGTTCTCCATCAAGGTGAAACAATATCATCTTATAATTACGCCTTACAATGATTGAACAAATGAAACGATGCTGAGAAATCCAATTCACATATGGTACGAGAGTGACAGCAGAACAAATGTTCTGAATCATTTGAATTTAAACAATTTGCACAAAAGTCTCTCCAAAAATTTGCTGAATAATTGCTCTTTTAAATTGCTTAACCCAAATCCGTACTTTTTTCAACCAATTGAACGTTTGAGGTGCTGTAACTTCAAAATGCTTCCACCAATTTTAGATTCGGCTATCGATCGCTAAGAATCATGAACTACATACTATAATTTCAAAACAAAAAGTCCAAATTGTCCACTGTATTGTCCTATACAAATAATGAACATTATGGTAATAAAGAATAGTTACTTGCTAAAAAGTGTTACACGAGGACGATCTGGGTTAACTACTCTATCTGGGTGAATTACAAACTAACTTTGGAATGAGTAGACAACATTTTCGCGCCGAAAAAAGCCTCAAATTTTATTCAAATTTCATAATATTTGTGCATGGCGATCGATATACTTCTCGAGAACAAATGGCAGAGTTTCGTGTTCAGCTGCCAAGCAGGTTCAGACCGTATTTGGAAATTGAAACCAAAATTGAATTTATTTATCTAATGCTAGAATTAAAAAAACAAAGAAAAAAATTGACTAAACCAGCCATATATTTGCTTTGGTTCCAACTGTATTATAAAAGTAAATTTTTGTTTCATCTTCAGCTTTCCGTTGCTTAGCTAAGCAATTTTATGGTCTAAAATCACAGTATTTTTTTTTTTTTGTTGCCGTTGCTGTTGGTGTCTCTGATTTTCTTTTTTTGGTAAATTTTGGAAGCAACTTTGAAGGAATTGTTTTTGTGAACACTTGTGAATGTGCTAGCGAACGAAATATTTGTTCAAATCTCACAAAGCAGAACATGGCTAGTGAAATTTAATCAAAAATTATTAAATTCCATTACTCTTCATCATATTCACATACGCAGTGATATGATATGATCTGAACTAATTTCAATTTTGAGATAGACATTTGTGATATTTGTTTGGGTTTGCATGTAACACAAAAAAAAAAAAAATTCAGATAAGACCAAGCAGTCAGAAGTAACTGCATTTCAATTAAAAAATTTGCACTTTACTTGAATTGAATGCTCCTGTAAAAAAAAAAACGCCAGCAATTAACCCTTTAATGCGCAATTTTTTTTATTTTTGAATGATTTACATATACCATTATGTGCCACGATAAATAGAGAAAAACTCCATACTCATATTTTTTTTTTTGCATATTTATCGAGAAAATTGGAAAAAAGTCAAAAGAGTCATATCGCTGTAGCAAGAAAAAATTGAATTTCATAAAACTAATGATACAGAAAGTTATATAGATGTTTTTTGGTCCTATGAGTCAAGATTTAACAATTGAAAAGAATGTGAAAACTCACAAGATGAGAGGAAGAAAAATTTGAAATTCTGCTAAAATTTCGCACTTTTTTATTGCAGTACATAAATACAAATAAATTTCGATACAGCTAACAAATTATAACGAGTAAGGTATCAAATGAAATCTAATTCAATTCCCTACATTTGTTTTCAAATAAGCATGCTAAAATACCCAGTGGTTTCGTCGATATAGTATTGGCCCTATCTGATTACTTTAGGAACCCATGCGTGATGAAGGGTTAATATGAATAATATGCATACATATGATTTGACTTGGAAACAGAAGAAGAGATAGAAACAGAGAGAAAAAAAAAAATCAACATATTAACGCGGCAATAAAGAATCTCTCGCTGTGTGAAAATTATTCTTCACATGTGTCTGCTCGTGTGCACTATCACAAGCGCACTCGTGAACCAAAGGAGAGAAAAAACGAAACAAAACCTCGCGTGTTTCATCCAAATGGGAGTGTATGCGTTAGTTTAGTACAATTCCCTATTTTTAATGTTCGGCTTTCGGCTTTCGGCAAACTGATTCTGGCTTGTAGCTATGCAATGCGACCGAATGAAGTACACAACTACTTCTGATTTTAGTACTAATCAGTTACCAACACAACGCCAATTTTATTGAGTGAATCGTCATTTCAACGGGGCCGATCAGAGCGTGTGCGCCAGTGTACGTATATCAGATTGGAACATATGTACATGTGTCTATGTGATGATTGACGTAATACTCTTTTTTATGCATGAATTCTAGCTGCTTCTTTTTTTGCTTTTCTCTCCATCTCCTGCTTCTTCTTCTTCTTCTTCGGTTTTTGCTTTTGCTCATTTTAACATTTTCTTCTTTGTCGCTACACACAATATGAAGCGAAACGTCAACGCATCGAAGACACATGTGAAAAATATTGAGCAAAGCGGCCATTTTTTGCAAGCAAGTGGAACGTTTGAAGCAAAGATTGTGCGGTGAATTGAATTTTTGTGTTATACGTTGTAACGATAAAGAATTAACACCCAGTTGAGTTTTAAAGTGGTTTCAATTCAATAAACTGCCATTACATCCGTATATAATTAAAAATTAAAATAGAAAAATTAATTGCCAAGAGGAATTGAATGCACACACACACTATATATATACATATTTTTTCCTCCTCAACTTTGGTGTTTGTTGTTGGATTTACTTGGTTTCCTCCAAATTTATTGGCAAAATTCAATATAGAAGATCTTCTTCCTGTATGTTCATATACGTTCACACGCATACCGACGAAGCGAAAAACGCGTTTAGAACGCACACAACGACACAAGACCCAGATCTACTAGCACAACGTTTAGGTGTTCGCTTCATTTGATATACACGCAGCCCGTACGGACTACGTGAGGAGAGCTAGAAAGACATTGCATTTGTGTGCGTCCACACGAATACATTTGAGTATCTGTGCTAGTGATACATATGATTATCGTGCGATGGCAGTACAGCTGCTTAATTCAATACCGACTGTCCAAATGCGTATTTAGTTTTTTTCTTCTTCATCGCTGAGAATATACACGGACCATATATCTGCAAAGAAAAATGCATTGAAAAATCCGGAATTAAGTGACGAAAGCTATTCTTTCTTTTTAATTGAAAAAAAAAAAAAAACGAAAATATTAACGTAACCAAAATTAATAATTGTTGAGGAAAAGTGATTGCGGCTACCGAAAATTTGTCGTTCTGTATGGTTAAAGAGAAAAAGTTGAGAATAACGACGAAGAACACAAAGTGAGGCGAAACGTGATTCGATTAACTAGTAAAGAAATTGGCTTTTCACGAAATGTCAATAGTTGCAAGTGAATCAAATTCATTGAACAATTTGTCGGCTTCCACAAATAATAGTATTTCCTTGGCCCAAGCTGAATGGTACGTATTAATACTAATTTAATGTCTTAGTTCATTTCGAAGTGTTGTGTGTGTATTGTTCAGAACATTTGGTAAACGCGAATATGCGTATTTTTTCCATTTTTATTTTATTTTTGATAAAAGTTTCTGAACCTTCCCGTGCAACCGAATGCGAGTGAAAAAAAAATCAATGATTTTATGATGTGTGACGCTTTTTTTTTCTTGTCTCTTTTTTCTCTCTCTTTCTTTATCTGCTTTGTTTGCGTTTGCCGTCATTCCATTCGCATCGCAACATGTAGGTACTGGGGAAATATTAGCAAAGATGAAGTTCGAGAAAAGATGTTGGGTAGCCCGGATGGGACGTTTTTGGTTCGAGATGCATCGAGCAAGTGCGGGGAATATACGTTGACACTCATCAAAGGTGGCAGTGAAAAACTGGTTAAAATTTCGCATCAAAATGGCTTCTATGGGTTCACCGAGCCGTATACATTTCCATCCGTTGTTGAATTGATCAACTACTATAGGAACGTATCTCTTAAACAATACAACATAATTTTAGACGTAAAGCTATTGCATCCAATATCAAAGTTTAAAGATAATGATGAGAACACAAATATCACCGATATCGATAAGCTGGCACAAAAATTTGTGGACACTCACAAAAATTATGTAGCGAAAACGCAGGAACTCAATCAGTTTGTCCATGAGTACGACAAAACTGAGAGCGAACGAAATTTGAAACGGCAGGCACACGACGCTTTCCTGGAAGCGGTCGCAATGTTTGAACACCAAATCGATTTGAAGAACTCATATCTGAAGCAGGCAGAACCGCACGAAATCAATAGTGTAATGGAAAATTTTGATCTATTGAACGCTCGATTGGATTCGTTACGCGACAGTAAAAAACTGCTTGAGGAGGACTTGAACAAACAAAAACAAATGGTTCTGGCGTTGGAGCGTGAGATCAACAATATTAAGCCGGAACGATCGGTTTTGGCTCGCATGAAAGAACGCTATCAAACCAATTTAATGCGACGTGGCGTGAAAGAAGTGAAAATCAAACAGCTGATCGAAGAGGGATATTCGGCATGGACAAACAACGAAAACGACAGTGGGCTGTCGCACAATGAGCAGTCAACATGGCTTCTACCGAATGCCACTCGGCAAGATGCCGAACGCTTTTTGGCCGGTCTACCGACCGGTACGTTTCTCATACGTCCAAGTTCACACGGTCATTATGCATTGTCGATAGCCTGTAATGGTATTACGAATCATTGCATCATTTATGAAACGCCCAAAGGATTCGGTTTCGCAATTCCCTACAATACATTTTCATCGCTTTTATCGTTAGTTATACATTATGCTGAAAGTTCACTGGAGGAACACAACGATTTACTAAATACTACGCTAAAATATCCTGTATTCTCATCGTACATTAGGAATTTACAAAAGCAAACTTCATCGAAACAAGATGATTATGTGGATGCATCGCCACCCGTTCGTGATTCGTAATTTGTAACATTTTTTTTTTTTTTTGTAATTTCGTTAAATCGTTTTATTTTTTTTTATATACATAATAATAATAATTATAATGGCAATACCTATATAAGAGAAAGGGCAATTCTTATGCCACACCATACACCATCCACATACACGTAATATTGATACACGAAATCCAGTTGAGTAAAGAATCAACTGTTAAATTTGCGATTCGGTTGTTTGCTTTTCGCTTGCAGCTATGGTTTGCAAACCGTTTCATTGATTCGCAGTTTATCGGTAGTTCTTTATGCACATAACAACAAAACAGGACACACTAACTCAACCCTTAAAAATACTCATCCGTCGATGTCATTTTTGAGGGCAATTATTACCAATAACATATAGTTTCTATATGACACAGAAAGAAAACATGAAAAAAAAAAAACAAAACATTTAAAAAACGAAGAAAAATCAAGAAGAAGAAGCCGATGTTGTATTCCAATCGCAATGGAATCATTATTATAATGTATGTTTCTATTTTTTATACGAATGAAATATCTATCTATTTGTACATGTAACATAACAAACAATGTATAAAAGAGATTTGGCAGGTCCTCATCGGATTGAGAACGGCAGTCGCGGGAGCGCAATCTCTGCTACTGACAAGCTCCATCAATCGGCTGGAGACGCGCCAAATACTTGGAAGTTAGTGTGATGTAGAATATATGTGTGACATATGCATATAATGTTTAATTACAAGTTATAAGTCTTGAAAATTTATACAAATATTGTAAGATATTTAATCAATTTTTTTTTTTATACCAATCATAAAAAATGATAAAGATTTTTGAAAATGAGAAATCAAACTGAAATTTGAATGAAGTCAATATATATTGACAATGGATAATAAAACGAAGATGGGTGGAACAATGATTGCGATTAAATGATGGATAAAGAGCAAAGAAATAAACAGCAACAACAAGAATAACAACAGAAAAACACACGCATTTGAGATAAATGTCATGTTTGGGGTTTTGCATGAGATCAACAACAAAAGCGGAGCGATTTTCTTTAGGCAAATCTCGCCTTTTTCTTTGTCAATCTCTCTCACTCTATATTTACTCTCTTCTCTCGGAGAAGTTGTCCGACTCCTAGTCTTATTACATCATTAAGTTGAATTGCATTGGGCCTTCTTTTTTTTTCGTCTAAAAAACACAAAATAAATAATTACAACTGCAATTGCAATCTAAAAATATAAATCGTTGTAATGACTTCATAGCTAAATACGTTTACAACAATACTGCTGTTGTACTGTGTGAAGCACCACAACAAAAACAACAACAACAACAACACCAAATGCATCGCTTGAAACAGATATTCAGTTTAATTCCAGCCCAATGTGTCGAAATTCATTTTCCATGATGCACAGCCAGAAAGACTCGAAAAGTCTTTTTCTATGACCCTATTCTGTGTCATTTTTTTAGTTCAGGGAACCAGACGAGCAAACATTGAACTCTCCAATATACAAAGTCTAGCCGACCGTTTTAGGGCGACCTTCTAAAATGTCCAATAACATTTGCCGTTATTTGTGGAAAAACTTACGATGAATCATTTCCATGTATATAAAGGAGAACGGTTACAAAGATAATTGTATTTAATGAAAAATTTAGCACATGTTTTATTATGAGTCATCTGCCACTTTGATCAGGAATGACAAATGTAAACGAGACGTTGACAAGAAAACAAAAACGAACAGCACAAGGAATTAAAATGAAACAATTCAATCAAAAAGAGAAGAAATACAATTAATACAATATTCAGACAGATGAACTTGCAAAATTTTACACGATCACGAAAATTAAAGAAAAAAAAAAAATAAGTGGTACATACATTTTATTCAGAATTCACCAAATTTTCTATATTCCACATGACTCCATCTTAAAAATAGATTAGCGTGTAGCATTTGACGCAATTTTCTGCTTCGTTTCCGCTTTATCATACAAAGTAAAACAAACAAATCTTGGGTTCAACGAAACTTGAACTATTCGAAATGGATGCGTACGATAAATTGGAATTTGAATTTCAACGCGAAAAAGGAACGAGATCGAACATCGAAACAATTTTTTTGTACATTTTGTAAACGGCCCATTCGATAGATTCAATTCAATCGAAATCAAAACCGAAATAATGCCATTTTATTTTTTTGGTTTCCCCAAGTCCATATCAACGAAGTAAAAAAAAAGGAAGAAAATAAATTAGATTCATTTAAACGCAGCTACAAGAAAGAAGAAAAAGAAACTTTAAATATACACGTGTATTTGTTAAATAGCTTTAGACGTAATCGATCACAAAACAAAGAGAAAAGAAAAAAAAAAGAAAAAAAGATTTTTTAAAATATGAAAACTTATTTCAATAAATGATCAGAACTAAACTAGCGATTCAGGGTTTTTGCAAATGCTTATGAAGTTAATTGAAAAAAAGTCAATTTGTTCATTATTTTTAAAAGAATATTTATATAATTTTCTCTTTATCACCTCCACTTTCCGTGATTTAAAATAGAATGAGATGGCCACGTTCGTACCGTACACACAAACATAAATGTTAACACACTTTTTATATACTTGATGAAAATTATAATCGCGTCGATAATGAATGTGACCAATCTAAAAACCAGAATATGCGTGTCCAATAAAAAAAAAAAAAACAAATAGAAATGCGTACAAAATTAGAGTTGCTTAATGAGGTTTTCATTGACTCAAAGATGATTCAGAAATTTAGCAATTAATGTTTATAGGAACATTTAGAATAAAAATGCACGTTTCATACAAACAGAAAGATCAAAAACAACAAGAAACAAACAATAATAAAAATAATAGTAAGTTCAACACCAATAATAATTCAATAAAAATAATAGCACGGATTTCGAGCATTTAATGCAAACGGCCACACGAACATATTTTATATAGTTGGATTTTATTTCCCTTTGACCATTTCGTAGCGCTTTTTCTTTAGTTTTTTTCTCCGTTTAAGGGAACATTAATCAAAATAAATTACTCGCTAAACATAAATTCACATATGAATCAAAGAAAAGTAGTAGAATAAACACACATACATTTTAAAACTTTCAAACAACAACAAAAATGAATATAATCCTTTAAAGTCTCTAATAATAGTAGTATTTTTCTTAGTGTATAGCAATTCATAATCTAAATGTGAAAATTCGCGTATTTTCAAGTGATTTGAGAAGGAGAAGAAGTATAAGAAAAAAGAAGAAGGAAGAAAAACGTTTGAGAAAACAGCGCTTCTAATTATACGCCCTGTAAATGCTACCTCAATGGAAAAAATGAAAGAGATATAAAAAATTATACCCATTGCATAAAGATAGACATGCATACGAAAGAAGAATAAAAAAAAAAGGCAGATCTTACTGAAGTTGGAATAGCAAAGGGAATGCAAAATAAGCAAATACTTCATGTCCGATTTCCAAGAGCAAGTGTTCCCAAGTCGATTCTATAGAAATATGAGCGTGCACAAACTCGGAAACAATAATGAATAATTCAGTGATAAAATTAAATTGTGAGTTAATTCAGTGGGATCAGAGAGAAGTTTAAAGCAAACAAAACAAAACAAAACAAATCTGTCAAATCATTTTGTCTATTTTCAGTTCTCTGTGCGCTCCAACTGAATTATTTTACTATGAAAATTGATGAAACGAAAACAAAAACTCAAGTTGTTGAAGTAACATCTACAATATACTATTTGAATTCTGTTTCCATAAAAGCACTTGGAATTGTATTGTACATCAAAATAATGTGAAATAATTCTAATCCATCGTTTTTTTTTACCAAATATTTTTATTTTATTCTATTTTTCGTATGCCAATTGTGAATTTTTTCTTTATGAATTTCAAGTCGAATTTTTTTGTAATATTAATAATAATAATGAAAAATAGTTTCTTTATCAATCTTAACATTTATTGAACTTATACAAGTTCCTCCTCCAATTCACCCGTTCATATTCTCAACGGATCACAATTTGAGTGACACAAAAAAGAGAAAATGTGAAATTTCCGAAGGTAACAAAAAATCTACCTTCTCTGATATTTTTTTACATTTATATTTGTTTAATCATTGAAATAATGTTGTAAAGGAATGGAGAATGTATCAAAATGCATATGTTCAGCCCACTCACAGTGGATCAAATTTCAAAATTTGGAATAAAAAAGAATTGTTTTACCCAAAAAAAGAGACAAAGTTTCATTTTTCTTTTTCTTTTTCTTTTTCTAATTATTTTATCCACATTCGGTTCAGATATCAGCAGGTGAATGCATGGAGAAAAATGTGCTAATGTGCACAGATGACTTTCGTCGCTGTATGAATGTATGTAGGACAAACAAGGTTCGTACTGAGCATGCTTTTGGCAAGTGACAATCGACTGTCATTCCCGCATTTTGAGGGAAATTTTTGTTGACCTCTGATCTGGAAAATATGCTAAATCTCAATTCCAATTTTGTTGACCATTGCAAAGGTAACTTTTTCAAAACTATATCACTAACAGGTTAAATTTTATAATTTAATTTTTTTTCCACGCAAATTAGTGAAGTTTCAAATCTATTGATATAAATGAAATTATTTTTGCGCATTGGCATGGTAAAAAGAGTTTTCCGTAGAGTTTCATTTATTATAAAATCCATTGAGACTGTGCTGTAGCATATGTGTTTCCACTCTTTGTTGACAAAAACAAAATACATGAAAAAAAAAAATCAATGCAACTGAACCAACGTATGAAATCACACTTTTTTCAAGGTAAGACGTTCAGCTTTTGAAAATCTGTGAATTTGGTTTCATTTGGTGTCTAATTCGAGCCATTGCAAATACAATGAATAACTCTGTGTTGGCCGATGTACAAGCACTCGTAAGTTTTTTTTTTCTTGCTTTTTGATTATTTTGAGTAGGTGGTGTTATTTGGAATATTGTGTTATTTTGTTTGTCATTTAACAAGTGCCACTTGTACACGTAACGATGTGCTATCTTTGTGATGACCAACTTCTATGTTCGATGTATATTTTCTTTTAGAAGGCTCAAATGAGTAAAATAGAGCATATCTTGGATCATATTTCGCTGAAAATGAACTCAGTTCAGCCTACATCAACAGCTACGGCTGATGTTCGAGCTCTGGTAACATTTTGTTTTGCTGCGTGAATAAATAAAAATTGATTGTAATGCAAATAATTGTTTATTTTTCACATTGATACGACAGAAAGTGCAAATGGACCGAATGGAGAGTATGGTGGATAACATGAAGGAGCCAACAAAACGGAATTCAGATAGTTCGTGACATTACAAGTAAATCGTTATGTAAGTTTCCGTTCGATTGAAAAAAGTTCTTTTTTTTTTCGTTCTGTTTTTATCTATTTATTCCGAGTATTTATTGTATTTTAGAAAAATTCAACTTTCCGGCAATCTCACCACTTGATTGATATTAATTTAATCCCACTGCCAATTGGAATTCAATTCATAAATAATATTTAACTATATACGAAATAGTCGATTCTGCAAAATAAACTTGAAAAAAAAAAACGAATATATTTGTTCTCCAATTAGATCCAAGTGTTTGTTTTATTAACGCTTCACCTTAAAATCAATGGAATGTGTTGTGGTTTGGCTAACAATAAAGACAAAACATTATGGCAAATTGTTTTGTATTTGTTTTATTTGAAAAATATATTGATCCTCTTTCATAAGACGACAAAAAATTCAGATTTGGGTTGAAAAATCCTAATAAATTCCAATTTTTACGGGAGAGAAAAAAAAAAATTGCACAACCAAAGAATGAAATCAACTTTCTGAAGTGCTTTAAAATACCAAATTATTGCAGGAACTGATTTCATAATTCGCTATCAGGCAAAGTGCCAGAGTCGGTGACAACGACATCTTTCTTTGGTCTATCGCCTGGGTAAGTTGGCTGGTTTTCAATCTTACGAATGATGTCCATGCCCTCAACAACTTCACCAAATACAACATGACGTCCATCTAACCATGGGGTCAACACTGTTGTAACGAAGAATTGTGATCCATTTGTGTCTTTGCCTGCATTAGCCATGCTCAATAAACCAACTTTTTCGTGCTTCAAAGTGAAGTTTTCGTCTGCGAAACGGGCGCCATAGATCGAATGTCTAAATGAAACATGAAAATGTTGAGAGAGACAAAAAAAAAAAAACCAAATGAAAATTTCGAAAATGCTGTTATTTTTCAAAAGTAAACAAAAATAAAGAAAAAATAGAGAAACATACCCGCCAGTACCATCTCCAGCTGTGAAATCACCACCTTGAATCATAAAATCTTTGATGACACGATGGAATTTGCTGCCTTTGTATCTGTAGTGAGTTGAAAAAATTATATCATAAATAACGGAACAATCAATGTAGATGAATCAAAATGTTACCCTTCGCCTTGTGGTTTTTTAGCCAATTCTCTAAAGTTTCTTGCGGTTTTTGGTACAACTTTGCCATACAAGCCGAATACAACACGACCAGCAGGCTGACCGCCGATGCTGATGTCGAAGTAAACCTAAAAAATGAAATAAATTGAATAAATACAATGGTTTTTGTGTCACAGGAAATGTAATTTAATTCTATATTGTGATTAAGCTGCGTGCTGATTGCAACAATCTCGTCAGAGCAGTGTTTAAAGCGAGTATAACTGGATTCGCGTGACGTCACAAACCGAAACTAATGAACTCTCTATGAGAAACAAAAAAATCTTCTTTGTTGCAAAAAAAAAAAAAAAACATAAAAATATTTCCTATTTGAATAATGACCATAGCCACATTTCCAAACAAATTATGTGCCAGCGATGCATGTATTCTTTGAATTTTACAATTAGAATGAACTATCTATCTATATATATATATATATATATTGCATTTAAAATTTTATTCTAAAGTACACGTATACCAACAGCAATTTTTTTGCCTACGTACCTTATCGGTTACTTCAGCAGCTAGCGCAATGCTAACCATCATCAAAACGCCAAGAATCACTTTTTGCATCGTTTTTTAATTTTCTTTTATCAACCGTAAAAAAGTAAGAATAAAATGCAAACCAAAGATTTCTAAATAGAAAAGAAAATTTTGTCGCCGATGAGAGAGAGAGATCACTGAACTACGATTACTTTACTTAATTCGAATTAATGTAAAAGCATCCGGCTCATTGAATGTTATTCTATGGAATAAAACACAATGTCGAAAAATGTGTGATTGCTTCAGCGATTATGATCGTATGATTTGTATTTTTGTTTGTATTGTCACATATAGTTTCTCTATGCCGATTGTGTTGTCATCGAATTGGAAAACAGTGAGAGTGAAAGAGACGGATATATTATCATCGTCCGTATGTAGCATCCATTTGAAAATGTTGTCTGTTGTGTCGCTGGTCAGCGACTCGGTCTGTGATTCAAGCGATGTGATATAGGTGGCGGACGCGGTTGCACGCCTTTTCTTCATTTGTATTTGTTATTCTATTTTTGAATGCTCATATCACCTTGACTGTATCGCATGATTTGAGGTTAGGTATCAACATTTTTTTTTTCCTTCTGAATTATACACATAAAAGGCCATTTTTTTTCGCATACGTTTCTCACAAATGATTTTTATTTCTCAAGTATTATACAAACCAAATGATAATCTGCTCAACTGATGGTTTCTACTGAAAAAAACTAAAACGAAAATAAAACAAATTCAATTTCCAAACGATTTTCATTTTTGGTTTTCCTTTTATTTTATTACAACTTATCATACATTGGAATTATAATAATTATATTATTTTTAACTTGGAATTTTCTCTTCTTCTTCTTTTACTAAAAATTCATCGAGTTTATCGATTTGTTTTCTGGAATTGATAATTCTGATTTATTTTTATTTCTTTTCGCAAATGCTTTTTGAATCGTTTTCATCGATTTCGATAAACTGGAAGTGGAATTTGAATGCTGCGATAAAAGCAGCCGCAATTTTTATTGTATGTTATTACTGCTCTTCTTGCATGTGTATTTTTTTTTGTTTAACTAACCATGCGTTTTTTTTTGGTGTGCTTACGGCACACATATCTGTTGGAGGCACGCTGCAGATCCAGAATTAGTCTTGTCCGTCGGCGAGTGCTTCAGCTTCAGCTTCGGCAGCAGGCTTTTCTTTGATGGCAACATCTTCAAAGTTCTCCACCAATTCGGGTACGTCATCGTCATCGTTCAATTTCTTACTGGAAACGATGTCATTTGCGATTTTCTTGAGTTGCATCAAGCCCTCTGGTCCAAGTTGCGTCAAAATTGATGGCAACATTTCTGAAATATTCTTGGTTTCACCGTTTCCGGTGATCGCAAATGTGTTTGTGGCCAACGATGCTTGAGCCTTTGGATTGTTGAAATGAATGACGGTGCCGTCATTTTTGATGATATTCACTTCTTCGATTCCTGTAATTAAAATTAATGTTGAGTGGCGAATGTCAAGACGAAAAAAAAATCGCATCAATTGACAGGCAGACAGGCCTGACAGGCGGGTAGGCAGAAATAAATTGAATATAAGAAAATACTAACCGGGAATCGTATTGACCGACAACTTTTTCAACGAAGATTGCAACTTCTTATCATCGGTGGCTGGTGTACTGTGTACAACCTTCTTCTTACGTCTGGGCGTACCTTTGCCACCGATACGAACTTGTTCTTGCAATTTCTTCAACTTTTCTGGATTCATGATGACTTCAATACAATAATTCAGCAGCGACTGACCGCAATTAATGTTACTCACGTCAGTAATTGTTTAAAAATAAAACACGTGCAAAATCCGTCCGTACTGGTTTGCACAAACTGTCAATGTCAGTTTTAAGCTCTGGATCACGCCATATTGAATAATTGACTCCAGCGCTATTTATTTTGCTGAAATTATCAGCCAATTTATATAAACAGATTATAATTATACATTTACCTTCTAAAGAGAAAAATCGATCAGAATTTTTTTTTTTTTTTCTTCAAGAACACGATTTATTTTTGTTTCGTGCAAATCATAAAATGAAATCAAATTCAATATAACTGGTTGTTTTTCATTTCAACCGATTTGAACCACAACAAGTGAGTGCGCCATTCACAACATTGTACGCAGCCAGAAATAGTTTAATAACAAGCAACGTGAACCGATTAACGTACATATCAAGTTGTGTGTGTAAAGTGCGTATGTGTGTGAAACGGCTTTCCAAAAATATGAATAAGCGATTGACAACTTCATTTGTATGAATAGGAGAACTAGTTTCGTCACATATTTGATGAATTATTCGAAACAAATAGAAAAGTTTTCGTTTTGAGTTTATTGTGATTTTTTGTTGATATTATTTTGACTGTCATCGAACCATATTTTCTGTGCTAAAAACCTTTGAACATTACGAGAAAGCGCTTAGAACTCTCATTGCATATTGGTAAAATTGTGCGAATTTATTTATTATCGAAGTGTAAGTGACGTTTACATTGAATGTGTCCACTTTAATTTGGTACTTATGCACTTTCGTTTTGTCATTTTCGCAATGATCATTCTAGCACATTCCGTTCATTACACGCAGTATTTGATATCAGTTTGGTTTACAACCGAATGATTTTATGCCCATTTTGAATGTCATTTGTTTTTGCGTAGCTTACAGAAATGGATAGGGACAGCCAAATCGATACAAATCCAATCGAAAGTTCTAATGCATCCAATGAGATTAAAGACGAAAATACAAAACCCGAAAATAGTGAAAGTTCCGAACAAAGCAATATCATAGATGTTATTGGAAATGGTCAACTGGTGAAAAAGGTAAGCGATTTCGGGCGAGATATTGACTGAACGAGAGAGAGAGAGAGAGAGAAAAAAACGGAATCGTTTGAATATTTGTTTAACATTTATTCCATAGACGATAAGAGCCGGTGAAGAAGGCTTTCAACCACAGCGTGGAAATATTTGTAAAATTAATCTCGTTGGTAAATTGGAAGATGGCACAGTGGTCGAAGAATTTAAAGATTATGCGGTGCAAGTCGGCGACGTTGAAGTGGTGCAAGGTGTTGATATGTCACTCCCACTAATGACTGTTGGTGAGTTGGCTGAAATTTCAGCCGATCCACGATTTGCATACGGTTCGCAAGGCCTGACGAACGAAAATGACAATTCAAAATCAATTCCACCAAATGCAAAGGTACTACGTTTACATTTCACAATATATTTTCTAATTGTAATAAGCCTACATCATTTAATTAGGTGATTTACACTGCTGAATTGCTTGAGTGCAACGATGAAGAAGATCTTGAGAATGTTCCATACGCAAGTAGACAATCCATCGGGTAAATTAAATTTTTTCGATTCATTTTTATCATATTTTTGCTCGATGAAATTCATTTTTCTATTATCAAGTAATCACAAGCGTGAGCGAGGGAATTTTTGGTATGATCGAGGCGAATACAACATGGCAATTCAACTATATCGTCGATCGCTAGAATACTTAGATGATACGGACAAATATGTTGGCGACAACTCAAAGTTGGAAGAGGTTTGCATTTGTGATCATTTTCTGTAATATGGAATGGAATTGGTATCATTTGGCATAAACCAAATTAATTAAAATGTTATCCATTTTTGATGGTTTGATTAATATATTTGATCATTATGAAAACAATTCCAGTTTACAAATGATCAGCTTCAGGAATTGTTGGAAACTCGAGTAAAAGTGTACAATAATTTAGCTGCAGCTCAAATGAAAATATCCGCATTTGATGTTGCACTCACATCGGTGGATAATGTGTTGCGGTGTCAACCAGAAAATGTGAAGGCGCTCTTCCGAAAAGGAAAGGTTTGTATCAGCTCAGCTCTATATTGCATTCTATTTACAATCATCTACTTTTCGCGGTATAGATTTTGGAAGCCAAAGGCGATATAAAGGCTGCAATCCCAATACTACAAAAGGCTGCTATTCTTGATCCAGACAGTCGAGCAATTCAACAGGTAACACAACACACACGTCGGAAAATGACGTACATTTAATCTAATGGACCAATTTCGATTTTTTTCGCAGCTTCTATCAAAATGCATAATGAAATCCCGTCGCGAGGCGCGCAACGAAAAGGATATGTACCAAAAAATGTTCAATCAAACGCAAAAATTGGAATCAAAAGGAAAACGTTCCAAAACAGGGGGAGAACATGAAATGCCAAAAGTATGAGAACATGAAATCATTTCGTGTCGAGGGGCGAAATCACTCTTTTTCACCGAAAATTAATAGTTGGAGAAACAGTAATTTGAAAAGTAATTGAAAGAAAAAGATAATGCTCAATGAAGCAGAGGACTTGTCGTCATAGGCGTAGGTGTAGTATTTCGCTTGGTTAAGCGATTCGTTAGTTGCCGAAACATCATATATGCAGTTTATTCGATTTATCACGTGCAGGCTTTGTTATGCGCAAAATCCATCACGCTGAATAAATTCATGCGATAGATTTATGCGATAAATGTGATGCGCTCGCTTTGCGGTGAACGAAGTCTGTTGCTCTTCAGTTGTTCACGCATGAACGTTCATGCTTTGCAGTGAATGCATCGCTAAGCGGTAGTGAAGAGCAACATACCTCGTTCACCGCAAAGCGAGCACATCACACTTATCGCATAAATCTATGGCATGAATTTATTCAGCGTGATGGATTTAGCGCATAACGCAGCCTGATCACGTGAAATCCTTATATTCGGTTAGCGGAAGTATTTCGTTTTCGGCGTCTATATACATAGCGTATGTATGACCTATGGCTATTACGGTGAAGCACAACGATATTCAACGTAAGCACGGCGCCGCAAACGAAATCATAGTTCGGCTAACCAAGTATAAGGATTTCATGTGAAATATATCGAGTGAACAGCATATACGATGTTTCGGCAACCAAACGAATCGCTTAACCAAGCGAAATGCTACACCTACGCCTGTGACGACAAGTCCTCTGCTTCATTGAGTGGTAGAGGTTTGACAGAAAACCACATTTTGGATGTTATTTTTAGTCAAAAATTACTATTTTTCTTTCAATTACTTTTCAAATTACTTGTTCTTTAACTATTACTTTTGAGTGAAAAGTGTGATTTTCCCCTCGTTTTGTGTGCAATTGTCACATCACATCATATTCAATCGATTTTTTTTTTTGACAACAAATTTCTTCTGAATTTCACTTAGTTCAAGCTCTGGGGTTATTTAGGATCGATTCTGATAGTGGTGGCAGGAGTTGCAATCTATAGATCAATCTAAATATATCTATGGATACCGGATTCATTTAAGTTTACTTCGTTTATGGATATCATCAAGATTGAATATTCTTTTTATAATTGTATTAACGCAGAGAATTTAATTTAGGGAAAAGTAAATGATCATCTTTATCACAGATAAAAGAAAAGTTACACAAAATTAATCGGAATGAAAACTGGCGGATTATCGCGTAAAATACGTAAAAGTTGAACTATTTTTCTTTATGTTATATTGTTTCACTAAAAGAAAAAGTGTCTAGATCAAAATGGTTTAGGAAATGTAAATTCAGACGAGTTTTTGTAAAGCACACGCATTATAATAATAATAATGGAAAATTAACAAACACTGAATCAACCGTTGTTTTTTTTTCTTTAATTTCAATTTACTGAAATTCTTTGATGGAATAGATGACACAAAGTAAAATGTGTTCTCAACTAATTAAAACAACTTCAAATTAAGATTTATGCCAATTGGATGTGTGTAGACGATTGAAGAAATCACTGAGGTATGTAATCTCATCAGAAAAGTGCGCTAAATTGAATTGTGGATAATTTTCCCAGGTAGTCTTCAGCTTTTTCGCTTCTTGTATGATCTGCTCGAAGCTTCGTTTAAATATTGCACTCTGATTCAAACAAGATTCGAGTGTCATGCAACCAAATCGTCGATCAGTTTGCAAGATCTCCTGAAAATATTCCTGATTTTCCGTTGATAAATTTGGCATAAGTTTATTTTGGCCGCAGGTATTTGGTTTCGAGTTGCGAAGCGTCTTTTGTATTCGAGTAAGTAATAAATCATCTAAACCTTGGAATGAACTCAATACAGCCAAAGTATTATCATTTATACGATCGGGAGCCATCTGTGTAATTCCAATCAACTCAAGGACATAGAATTTTCGCACTTCTGACGAATCGGAGTAGTCGATTTCTACTGAACTGTTTCGGCACATGTATTTTTGCCAAAGCAACACTCTCAATACACTGGTAAGAAGCAATTCAACACATCTGGTTTTTGATCTTGACAGAGCGTCGGTCAGATAATTTGTAAGTTGTTCATCATTTATGCTGCGCAACAAATACGATGAAGAGGACGGTGATTTGAAACTCGACAACGCACTCATCTGAAAGTATTTTATTAGAAGAAACCGAATTTTTGAAACTATTTTTTAAATAATAATGATTTTACCAATTCAAGACATTCATTGTTCGTAGCGATTTCACTCTTGGGATTTAGTTTAGCTAACGTTTGTTTAATTTTATCCACAATTTCTTGGCCATATTGTTTTAATTTTGAAACATCACAATCACATCCGAATATGGCCAATGCAGGTGAATACGGCAACTCTCGAAGTATTTCCGATCGGTGGCATTCAGAGAGCAAGCTTAATGTATGTTTAGATAAATTCTGAATCAAAACACTTGATGGACATCGTGGTATAGATGATAGGTTTTGGCTCATGCTCAACCATAGTTTGCAATACATCGATCTCGTATCGTCTGATGCATAACTGACGGAAAATTGTGAAATTAGATTGAAATCCAATACGCATGAAAAGTGGTTTAATACTTGAGAAATATGATCCAAATATCCATTAAAATGGTTATCTGACGAGCATTGTCGGTTAATATTGCTTCAACAAGGATTCGCTCCAAAGATCTTTCGACTTGTTGACTTGCGGCAGTTAATATTAACAACCCACATAAAATAACGACATCATCATATAGATGGTCTGTGTATATTTTGTCCATTTCTACGGAGAAAACGAATTTTCATGAAAAAAAAAAAAAAAAAAAGAAAACTGATTGATTTAAACACACTTTGAAATGAATACTCACCTTTTGGTATGCACACGAACAGTAAATGATGCAATATATTTCGTTGAATGTCTTCATGGTTCAGGTACCAATTATTTGATGTGCAGTTTGAATGCAGTAATAGTTTTGTAACTTCAAGACTTATATGAATGTGGTCATCACGAAAATTCGAGAGTAATTCCATCGAAAATCGAGTACAGTTAAACGTATTTGACAAAACGTTTGATAATGCATTATTTATTAGCATTGTATAGTTTCTGATGTCCTCGTTATTTCTGCTGCTGTAAAACGAAGTTGATCGATGAAAATACTAAAATCGTTCAATGATCCATATACTTACGCAATGTCCAATGTCGTTTCGTACAAGCTGATAAATTTACTTTGCCCCCTAAAATTTTCGTTGTTATACACTTCTGCAAGATTTTCCATCAGTTTCAAATAAAAAGTTGTCACCTTTATCACAAACATCGATTCTTTTGTACCTTTTTTGTGCTGAGAATAACATGAACAATTGTTATGAATCAGAAATGAAAAACGATAAGAAAAAGAAGGTGTTTATCCCAAACCTCTTGCATTTTCTGTACATTTGCCGTAATCAAATCGCAAATATTATCTATACAATACGCAACCCAATCCAAAAGATCTTCTGAAAGGTATTTGAGTTCGGAACAGTTCTGTTGTTGTAGTGTATGGTAAATGGTGTGAAAGTCTGTTGCCAGTTTGGACAAGTGCTTCCATGTATTGGCCATTGACTTCACATCATCCTTCTGCGATTGGTGATAACCTAGTTGAACCAAGGCCTGTAATACTGTGTGTTACACATAAAGTAGCACATGTTAATTGGCATACAAATCTTTTTGAACTTGCATCTATTCAGATTTTTAGATACCTTTTCGACATGTTTTCAATTCACTCAATGCAACATCAATCTCTAATTTCGGACACACCAATACACGTGTAACTGACTGGCACATAGCATCACAGTATGGCTTTATATTATCATGACTGAAAAATCAAAAAGCATTTAATATGCGATCGTTGTGGAAATGAAAAAGTTTTCAAAAATTTCGTTCCCTCTAGGTACCTGGCAAATTCTTGGTGCGGTAGTATTTTGCATAGAAAATGCAATGTATTCAACAAGTAGAGCTCAACGTTTGACAAACTAAACTTATCTACGTCTTCGAGTTTCTTATGAATGCTCTCTGACAGTTCCGAAAATAGCTGAAATACGGTTCCAATTATGTTTGTTGTAAATTCCTCATCTTGACTATCGATACTAGTAATGGCCTAAAAATAAATAAAAACATTTTGTTTATAAATTTAAATTAATTGTCGGTAGTTTGATTCACTAAAAAGTGTCAATACCTCATCGTATTTGCCTTTTAAATGAGGGAGTATATGCTCGCAAACCAGCTCATTGATCTCATCAAGGGATAAAATATTACTAAACTTAGTGAATGCAAATTCAAACGCTGCACATGTGTCTCCTTCATCCTTCAGAACGGCGTATTTGATATGAGAAAAATCTTCATTAAGGAAAATCGTTAAGACAACTTACAAAATGTTCGATTGTATTGCTTAAGTACTAGAATAATTGTTTGACTAATTTTGAAAAAGGATATTTGAATGGTTTTTAAAATTTGTTCCTTTGGTATACACTGCAGATCCTCTGTAGGTAGATTTTCTATCGATTCAAAATTTCCGTTCATGTTTTGTAAATAAAAAGAAGTGAAACCACCACCAACGTTCAGAATGCTTATGTGCTAGTATTCAATTAGATTCAAAATACAAGCGACAGATAAATTTAGCGCTCAAACTGAGCAATGACAGTAGCTGTCACTTTATGGTATGCGGCATATTCGTATATGCACGTGTTTGAGTTATTGTTTTTTTTTTTTTTTTTTTTTAAAATAGAATTGTGTATTAAATCCAAAATAATGAGCTCTGACGAAAATGAACAAAATGAAATTGATTGCAACACATGTACTGCAACCGAATTGAGTCAATTATTTGATGAATCACTTCGGATATCGAGTGAAGAAGCAATTTCATTGCAGCAGAATTACGTTTTGTATTTGGACAATTCCAGGTAGTTTGTTGTTATATGATAAAATTTAAGGATAAAACGAACTCATCAACATTTCTTCGAAAAAAAAATTCCATCAGAGACTTTGGTAAAATTGCCGCTGGAACATCAAGTAAAACTGTGCATATTTTCGATTTGAATAGCAGCAAGGGATTTTCGCAACTTCAAAAATGCGATATCGGACTTTCGACCGACAACCAAACGATTTGTGACATTCGCTTCGGAAAAAACAGTTTGAACACACTGTTTGTCGGCGTAACAAATGGAAAAATATACACTTATGATTTGCGTGCAAAGCCAATGCCGGTACAGACATTTGAAAATACTGATGCTCAACAAAAGCCATTCATGTGTTTTGATGTTAGTGCGAATGATTCGGTATTAGGTGTTGGATCTGAGCAGTATGAAGGCGAAGTAAATCTTATATTGTTTGACGTACGAACTACTTCAACACAAGCCATATACTCAGAAAGCCATCGAGACGATTTGACGCAGATACGGTTTCATCCAAACAATCCTGATATTCTAGCCTCTGGTTCAACCGATGGACTCGTAAATGTTTTCGATATTTCGGAGAATGACGAAGACGATGCGCTTCAATCATGCTATAATACCGAAAGCAGTGTACAAACGATTAATTGGCATCCGAAACATGACGACTATTTACTGAGTTGCATCACACATACCAACGACTTTCAATTATTGGATGGTGATGATACAGACGTGGGTTTTAGATGTGAGCGTCAAGAAATTACAAAATTGATAAAACGTAAATCAGCTGAAGATTGTTATCTCATAAATTCGCATTCCACATTAAATGGCGATATTTTTTTGCTGGCTGGATCAAATTTTAATGCTGGTGAATGTCTTCGCAGTCTCACCGTACACAAAAAATCACTTAAGCCTCGAAATAATTTCATAGACAACAAGCAAATTATTCGATGTAGCATCTTCAACCAAAAGGTAGACTTTTTAACAATATATACGTATATGTATCGAATCGATACATTTTTTTTTTATATCGACACTAGATCGAGCTGATTTGTTTGGTTTTGTTTCCTTTGAATGCATAGGACCAAGTGCTTGTTACAGCCGGTGAAGGAGGTATTGTTACCGTGTGGGAAAATAGCCCATCTTCAAACAATGACATACACAAAGAGAAACGAAAAATTAAAACGAAAAACAGCCGAAAATCAAAACCGTATTAGGTGTTTTTTTCGATTAAAATATTAAAAAAAGGAAGTGTTTTTCAATAGAATAAAATTAAATTAAATAAAAACGAATTCAATTATGTTTTGCTGCATATATAAGCCATAATTTGTGTGCAAACCGCATCAAAATGACGGCGAGTGGAACCCTTTGATAAAATCATTAATGGCAAATGAGAACACAAAGCCGATTGTATCGCACGTCAGTTTCCAATGGTCAGTGCATTAAAAGAATTTGTTTCATCCGAATTCATCGTCCCAGGTACGAAAATTGGATTTCACAACGGCCGCTATAGCAGCGAACAATGGCTTGCCGTTTCGTTAGTTTGCACCAACAAATCAGATTGGTCAATCATTGCATACGCATCATTCGAATTGCTTTCGTTTAGTGAAAAATGGCAATTGAATGTAATGAATTCACCAGCGCAGCTGAAAAGACGTTCGCATATAGCTTACAAGATTCAGGATCGAAGTGAAAGTTGGACAAATGGGAAATGGATCCATTTTCAACATTTCTGCATTTATGGCGTCGAATTACGAAGTGATGGGCGGTTTTCGCCCGTGAAATTTGCGACGATTAACTGAATCTACACAATCATTTCCTTAATCACAACTTAATCATCATTAACTATTTACACAATCACGATTAAGTTGGTGTAGATAATCACGGCGACGTCGCGATTAATACAACAAGTTAATCATCGCCGATGATTAATTATACTCTTGCACAATCACTTAATCATGATTAATTGCGATTAAGTGATTAAGTGCCGTCTTAATCATTTGAAAAATGATTGTGCAAGTGATTAAGTAATCACAAAACGCCCACCTGTAATTTAAATAACAACAATAAGTAAGAGACACACAAATCAACAACCAATGTTTGTAACGTTTTTCTGTTTTATTTGAAATCATAAAAAATATTCATTCCTGTTTTCAACAAAGAGAAATGAAACACAAATCAATTTCTAAATAGAATCATTTCGACTAGATTCGATTTTAGAAAAATATTATGCGCTTTATTTATGGTACCTAATTAAAACGAGAGACGAAAGAAAGGAAAATAAAACAAAAACTATTACGTTCAAATTTGCCTAGTGATTGATTGCAATCAACAAAAATCAAAATCGTATGGTTGTTTGGATTTACGGAAAATGTCCAACAAAATGATACACTCAACGCTTTTTTTTTTATACTATGTGTTTTTCAATTGTAAAATGTACAATAGTTTGCAACTTGATATTATTTTCTTCTGTGGTTTCATTGGCTATTCAATAGTTTTCAATGGATACGACTTCATTTTGATGCGATTTCTTTTTTTCTCTTCTTATTCTTCGTAATATAATATATGCAAATCTGTTTTTTTTTTGTTAGTGATTTTTGTTTGCTAAAAAATCTCCGGATCCATTTATTTCTTCCCGTTGTTGCACTTTAAAAGTTTGGCATCTAAGTTGTTAAAAAAAAAACGATTTCAGCAAATATTTCGGCGATATTCTTTGTTTATTGGATCGAGTTTTCTTTCTTCGCGCACATATCTAATTCATAATCAATAAGAACTATGCATTTTTTTTTCTCTGTTTCGGTTTTAAATAATTCGTTAATATTCAGCACTTTAGAAAAATGTTTGTTTGTATTTTTACATGAAATCATCATAATCATAGGATTCGTAAGTTCCATATTCCTTCATATTTGCCTGTAGAGAGAACAACAAGTGACATGAGTAATTTATGGATGTTAAATAAAGAAATAAAGCAACTTACGCTGTCTGTTTCGATGCGAAGATTCACTTTTGATTTGCCTTTACTTCCTTTTTTGCTCTTCTCTTTTTCCAATTTTTGCTTTTCTGTATACAAATTGTCGATGGTTTTTTTGATTTTCTGCAAATCGCTGGAGCCCACTGCAATAGAAAATCAAAAACATAACGTGTCAATTCAAAAATTCCGCTGGACATTCAAGAAAGAAAAAAAAAAACCTAAAAAACGTGTAATACTCACAGTTTGCGCATACGTTCCGCACAAGTTCTTCGAGGAAACCAGGGAAGTCGACTAAATGTTTGTATTGGCTAACTTTTTTGCTGATTGCATCCGCGAGTTCAGTTAATTCTGTCTTAGTCTTCGGTTGAAGCGAATCAATGCCCGATTTTTCCGTAACACCGAATGTGTCCATCGCTGCTCGCAGATCGGCTTCCTCTTGAATCTTTTGTAATCGCAATTTTTCGGCTAATTTTTCTTCGGGTGTCATGTTTGCCTCTCGTTCAGCTGCTTTTCTCTCCTCCTCTTGTTGTTTTAGCCGCTGTGAATCAAATCACACACAAACACATTTCGTTAGTATCACAAAGTCACGTTTGGAATTTCGCCATAGCATGAAATCAATTGAAATAAAATGTGTTTTTTTTTTTCTATGAAAAGTATAATCAAACAACAATTTTTTCGACCAACAACTAACTCACTTCTTTTTCGGCAATTCGTTTTTTTAGATCTTTCTGTGGTTTTGTTTTCTTCACCATTTTTGCTTCGCCATCACTCGGGCTCTTATCCTCATCATCTTTGGGCTCTTCATCTTCATCTTCCCAACTATCCTATTTTGCAATCAAATAAAAAAGAATTCACATTACCACGTCACAACAGATTTTTCCAGAACAATATTTGCAATATTCACACACATTCACACTGTGTTAAGTATGTGTGTACAAATATATTTGATCACATTCGATTCCACGTTCAAATTTAGGTCAAAGAAAGTTAAAAATGCAAATAAAATTCGATCAATAAAAGCCACTAATCCAAAAGTGAAAATACTGTACACAAAAACGAAACAACATAACCTCTATCCAACACCTGTACCGTGTACACGATCACACAAAAAAAGTAAAAGTTCAACGCATGCACGTCGCATAAGTAATACACTTACTTTGACTTCTTCTTCATCCTCGCCATCCCATTTGTTGATATTAGAAATTATCGCAGGTTTCTTTGCTATTTGTGATGGCTCGTCCGCCAATGTTTCTGTGGGCAAACGAAAGGGACAGAAAATATAAACGATATGAACAATTGAACAATCAACAAAATGTTGCATGCATTGTCTGGGTCAGTTTTTGACGTAGACCTTGATAGTAAAACGTGCGATATTACTTCAGATTTTTCTCTCTAATGACTCAATACCAAAAAAAAAAAAAAAAAAAAAATCAGCGACTTATTGCACAGCACAGTAGATCACACGCACATTTTTTTTCTAATTTCATGCACCAAAACTTACCCCAATCATCCATTATAATTTTTTTTTTTATAATTAATCACAAAATCTATCTAAATTTATAATCCACGTAATTTGGATTCCACGAGCACTCAATGTGAACCAAAAATAAAATAAGGAAAAATTATCAAAATGAACTTTAGCTAACAAACAACTCAGATCACGTTGGTCAGTCTCTCACGCTCGAATAATGTGTGTGGCAATTTATTGAAAGCATTTGATGACTTAAGAAATATGTAACAATAGGTTGTTTCGATGATACAAAATGAATGCATTCAATGCCATATTGCCGCTTGAACATTTGAACCACTTTGGAATTCACCAATTGAAGTTCAATTTTAAATTCCAAACAAACAAACGAAAAATAAACAAGAATTTAGCAAATAGGTTGCGAAAAATTGAAATGCGTTCAATTTTTCTCTACAACAGGTTGAGTGTAAAAAAGCGGAACCAAAATAGTTTAAACTTGATAGTTTACGTTTTGTAGCGATGACAATGACAGCATTCAAACATATCGTTTTGACAAAAGCATAAAAAAAAAAACGAAGACATGCCAGCCAGAAAGGAATTTAGGAAGAGTTTGGTGAAATTGAAACTCGGTTAAAATAGGATAAAGAAAGCACACGCACACATTCAGCATCACACAAACACATGCATTCCTTTGATGGCGACTGTGAGTTTTGTGTACACAAATACGAATCTCAATAAAAACAGAGTGCAGTTTTGTGTTGTACGCATCAAAGATAAAATGTCATATCATTGAAGGGAAAAAAGCAAAAAAAAAAATTGTGACATAAATGTCGATGGTTTGCAAAAATATATTTTGAGTTAGTTTTTCCGAAATGCAGAAATTGCACTATCGACCAGCATCCGAAGGTAGCGGGAGATCGCCAAAAATATGCAATTCCAGTGTGGATGAATCTGTTTACATAAAAATGATTCGCCAAGAACGACCATTATGGGATAAGAAACATCGCGACTACAAGAACCTCGAAGTAAAAAATAAAATATGGAAGGAAATTGCAGAAAAATGCGGATCAACCGGTAAAGAATGCAAATATTGTATTCGCACAGTGGCAACGTTTTGTGATAGAATTTTGTTTGTGCAAAAATGCATGTTTCGATTGCAATTACATTTGTAATCATTGACATCCTCTGACTGATGGAATGTTTTTCTCTACTCTGCTGTAGATTTGGAGTGCAAACGGAGATGGACTGGACTAAGGGAGAAATATCGACGAGAAAAAATTTTGAACTACAAACAGCGACGCTTGGGTCAAGTGGTTGACTTAACACAAAGATGGCGAAATTACATGAATATGATGTTTTTGGATCAGGTCTACACACCTAGAGGGTAATTATACTTGCAGTTATTCCAATTGATCTGCAAATCCAAATGGGTGGTGCATAATTTTCAAAGTGAACTCGTTCGTTTATTCAATTTGTTACCCCTTATCGTTTGGTGATGCATTCCAACTGTCTAGTGCCATTGAACTGTCTATATCTAATCCGGTTCGTTTTGGTTTTTGTATTGTTTTGTTTTGATTTTCATTTTGTACCGTGTAGGAACTATCAAAAGTCAAATGGTTCAACTTCAGTTGAGGAGCGAGACGAGAGTATTCCAGCGCAAGAGATTAAATTTGAAGATGATGAGTCAGATGATGACTGCAATGCTGCTGATTTCCTTGAAACGAGTCTCAATAGTAATAATGCACTTTCACTGCCTGAATCGTCGCCGGCAAATTTTGCAACGGCATCATCATCACAACTGGCCCAATTGACCGCGCAAAATATTAACGGAAACGGTTCGATATTTTCAAATGTTTCAACGGATCGGCTGGCAAATCAAGACAGTTTTCCACGCATTTGGGTGAATTCATTGCCCAATCTACCGATGCTATCTAGTCATCTAAAGGGTGACGAGTCATCATCATCATCACAGTCAGATCAAAAAGGCCATCAAACACAACCCGAACTGAATACAAATCATCACGATTTATTTGCTGTCAATAAGACCGTTAATAAATATAGCTCATTTGGACAGTACATTGCCGATACGCTGCAGGAAATGGAGGAGAAATACGCAAATGAGCTGCATGTGCATATTCTTGAGGAAATAATAAAAATTAAAAGTAAAATATTTAAGGAATCGTAACAAAGCCGTTGGCGTTTTGAGCAATTTTTGATCAAATCGCTTAAAAAATTGTACAAGAGTCACAAACAGTAGGATTGTTTACATTTATTTTTATTCTAATCACATTTATTATCATTTTCAACTATTCATCATATATGGTTTCGTATTTTCCATCTTTTCTCTACACTATTACATTAGTACCCATTACTCGACTTGATTTTACTGTTTAGACTCAATATTCCGTTTTCCATTTGAAACAAGGAACGTTTTTTTTTTTTATAAATTTAATTCGACAATGATCATTATTATTATTATGAATAAGTATTATTCCATTTATTTAGGCGTATTTAGTATTTTAGCCAGTTTAGTCACATTATATTGACTTTTAGGCCACGAGAAAAGATGTGAAAAAACCACAATAGTATTATCATTATATCCGATTACAAAGCAGAGTTCATTAATTCAGTTTAATAATGTAATGAAATCGTAAATAGATCTAAATTAGTAAGAAAGACCGAAACAAACAACAATTTTTTTGTGCAGAGCATTTTATTCCCACCAAAAACTTACAGAAAAACTTTTTGACAAACTCTTAACGAAATGCCACCATTTTGGTGGTAGATAAAGCATCTCTGAGGCGTACAGGGTGAGTGAGTAAAATTTAACATTTCTAACGAGTGGAAAACGATCATAGTCTAAGTGTTCTGCATCGATTTGTGAGGTATTCTTCAACATGTCACCGTCGAATGGGTACAAATTGACAGAATCATCTGGAGCAGCCAAGATGATACGTTTCGATCCAAAGACTTGGCACAGTAAATTGTGTTTTTCATCAATGTGCATCGGAGATATAGTTCCCTCAGGTCCAAGCCACGCTTTAATATCAACATCGATATCGTTATCGCTGGTTCTACTGGTGATGCAACAGTATTCAGGAGTGAATATGTCATTTTTCAATGTTGGTATTTGATCGAATAAATTATGCTGGGCCAAATATTCGATTCGCTTTGATCCGGCGCATGTTTCATCGTCCAAAAATTGACGACGGAAAAAATCTTCAAATTTGCACAGATCTTGCGACCAATTCTCGTTTGTGTAGTTTTTCCCGATTTCGATGGGTATCACACGATTTTGACAAACATCAAGCAAATAATTGATTGTATTCCATTTTGACATCGCCGGCCACTGACTCATACAATCTCTACAAATCAAAACGAATCGGATTAGATATAGACTATTCACTGACATGAGAAAATTTAAATGCATCACCTCAATATCACCGGCTGACTCCTATTAAAATAATTCTCTTTGAAATGCTGGATCGATGGCCGTTCGAGAATATCTATGTCGCAAACAATATCATTCGAAGGTCTCGAATCATACTTTGTGTCTAATTTTGTTTGGTCTGTATTTCGAATTTTGCTACTTCTGTCATTTTGAATAATGTTCAAGCAATCATTCAAAACATCGCCATAGATTGAATGATCTAAGGGGCATCCAAGAAGAAGGCCATTGTCCAATTCCCACATACACTGTTCGCGGGCTTCATTCGGATGGATTAGTTCGAGATGTCCTTTCATCAATAATAGTACTGCCTTATGTAGTGATGCCACTGTATAGATTTTACGATGAATTTGGCTTACTTTGCTGAAGTGTCCAGTGTTGATTATTTCCCAAAAATGATCTTTGATTGCTGCCACCATAATAAATGTATCATTTAACGATTTTTCGTCTGTTTCACTTTGCGCCTTTGCAAAACCATCGACAATCTTATAAAAATTGTTGGTTAGCGTTGGTTCGGCAGAATTTTGTCCCAAAATTGACTGAATAAAATCGGGCGGTGGAAGAATATCAATTATTTTTTTTAATAAAACATCCATTTTAAACTGAAAAAATGTCAATACGTTGAAAAAGATTTTATTCTATTTACATTGAACGAAGTTATTCGGATACTGTCAATATTCGAAACCGAATACGTTCAAAAACATATGTTAATTTGTGCAACCCTGAGCCAGGGTCCCACTAAAGCGACATATACATATATACACTGACAAGTTACCAAAACAGTCGACAGTGAAATCGTTGCACATTAGCCTAGCAAACGACTTTCTTTTTGTTTGGCACTAGTTCACATCAGATGGTAGAGATTTTCTGAATTTCAACTAGAAACTTTTGGATTTCAACGAATATTTTGATAAAATCGGTTGTTATTCTTAGAGAATATTAGAATTTGTACGGTAAAAATGGCTAAAGTAATATCTCAGGAGACTTTTGATGATGTTGTTAAAGAGAATGTTGTGGAATTTGCGATGAGTGTTCAGGAAGCTAAAGAGGAAACGGTCAAGCAGTTTGAAGCACAAGGCATTAATCTGGCCAACATCATCAAAGATTTATCGATCAACGAAGAAACTGGAAACCCTGTATTGACTGAAACTATTGAAAAATTGAAAACTATTTCAGCCGGCGACGATGTTAGCTCGGATCAAGTTCCAAAATTGCTGGAAATCCTTTCCAAAGAATGTACAGCCAGCGTTCCACATCGTGTGGTTAGTAAAAATTACATTTTTTCTGTGTACGAAATGATGTGATACATAAAACTAATCTAATAATCATTCAGATGGCGGCCAAATTAGGTGCTGAGGAGATCATTTCAAAAATTATTGACTTGGCATTGGAGAAACAAGAAATCACCGATACTTCAGTAAGTGATATAATATAATAGAATTTCATTCATTGCTAAAATCTAATCATTTTATTGTTTGTTAATAGGTGATCAAAACTGGACTTATTGCCTGGAATGAGGTGATGAACAAGCAACCAGATATTTTTAATGATAAATCACTTTTCATAATCGTTCAAATTTTAAACAAAAATCTTGGCGATGAGTTCATTTTGTTGTGTTTGCAACATTTAAAACATGCCACACTTTTGCATGAAATCAACCGGCAAAATATCATGAGTGTCGGAATACTATCGAGCTTAAAACCTTTGTTGAAAACTCAAAACCCTGAAGTGAGTTGAATGTTTAATTATTTTGCATGGCAACCAAAATCTTAACTAGAGTATTATTGATTTATTTGAAAATAGGTATTGAAAGAGACATGTTCATTGCTCAGAAATCTGATTCTTGATGATGATATTCGAATTGAGTTCAGTAAAGCGCACGATCATGCTAGAGCCATTGCAGCCGAATTTCTCGTTGAACTATCACATCTATTGCCAAGTAAGTACCCACTGAAAATCGGTGCATTGCTTCATCAGTACTCTAAATCAATTTGTGAACTATTTTTCAATTTCAGTTCAAATGAAGGACAAGAACATTTTGAGTGAATTGCTATTGACAATAGCGGCATTAACAGTTCGTCATGAATTTTGTGTTCAGGTTGAAGAAGCAGGCGGATTGAAATTCATCCGTGATTGCATGGTATTACACTGAACGCCATTTTAAAACCGTGTATTATCTTTTATTTTTTAAACTGATTTTTGTTTTGTCAATCGTATTTGCAGAAAGAACATTCTAGTTCAATTCGTGTCTCTAAAGAGGCATTGAAACTGATGCGTGCATTAGCTGGAAACGATGCCGTTAAAAATAACATTCTAAAAGATGGTATGTCGAAGCTTCTAGATGAGATCATCAATATACACAAAGTAAGTATATGATGTCATTCGGATGTCTATACATGGAAAAATACAATCAATTCGATGCTTCTCTTCATCAGGCGAACGAACCGTTTGCGCGGGCGGCCTTGCATTGTTTATCCACGATAACGCTGCGTTCCAAAGAAAATAGCCAGCTATTGTTTGATGCGGGTATAGCCGAAACCATTGTTGAAACTATGAAACTTCATCCAACCAGCAAAATTGTGCAGGTGAAATTTTGTGAAAAACCCTATCAAATCTCATTCAAGTGACTTATGATCATATTAATTTATAGCGCAACGGAGCATGGGCCATCAGAAATATGGTATCACGGTCAAGAGAGCAATGCCCCGCATTCTTATCACATGATGTTGAAGAAATTTTAAAACAAGCAATGGAAACCTATTCAGATGTTCAATACGATTTGAAAGCAGCACTGCGAGATTTGGGCTGCGAAGTTCAACTGAAAGAAGAATGGACGGGAGTCAAGAATAAAATTCACATCGAAAACTAAAAGAAAGCAGTGCCTGCCAACACATATTCATTTTTCCTCAATATATTCAACTCATTTTTTCTAATAATAAACGCATAAAATGTCATGACTGTATGCAATATGTTTTCATATGCGACAGTTAATAAATATAATTATTTCCGAAAAATTCCGAAGCAATTTAAGTTTTTATCTAATACTAACCAAAAAAAAAAAAAATTGAGATAAAATACATTTTTCATACACGAAATAAAAATACTACAAAAGGAACAGAATTTGCTATTTAAGTCACTCAGCCATTGCTTAACGGAAAAAAATGAACATTCTGAACTTAAGAGCCGTGCTTGTATCATACCATATTCTATTTTTCATCTTCTCATGGGGTTTAATCGAACTGTGTACGACGCTGATCGTAGATTTAGACAGATTTCATAATTTATATTCAAACAATTTATTAAATCTTCAAGAGATTCACCGCTAAATCGTTAATAGAAATTGATTCGTTGAATTTTTTGAGGGACAAATAACTTTGAAAATTAAAACTTAAAAGTGATTTGTGGTAATTTTTAAAGTCGGAAAATTACTTTTCATTCAATAAAATAATTAAAAATAACCTGTCAATTAGTAACTGATTTTGAATGAATTCCTTGGCATTTTTCAAATTGAAAATCACAAATAAATTGAAAATTTTCCGGTAAAAGTGGATATGCCACCGATCTCAAAATTCAAAAGTGAGGAAATTAATCAAGTTTAAGAAAAAATATATAAAAATTGTAATATTTCAAGGAAAATTATGTTTATAATTTCATATTTTAACATAATCAACATCTTCAAAAAAAATGGATTTGAAAAAGTTCTTGACAATACAGTGGATGATACGGTTCATTTCTATTGAAACTTTTTCTTTGATTCATTTTTATCGCAAAGAATAATGCTTCATTTTTATATTTATATTTTCATTTCCTATACTGTGATCCAATGATTGTTGTTTTACAATGGATGTAATGAAAACTAACCCAACAAAAATTTACCAATTAAAAAAAAAAAATCAAATGTTCGAAGAAGAGATTTATTTCGGATTTGGTCACTATAGTCCATTGTGAATTCCAATTTCAATGATTGCGATTGTTTGAGTTTAAAAAAATACGAGAAAAATGTTTATTTTACGATTCAATCAACTGTTGCAGGAAATTTTGCACGATTGTGCATGAGAATTGTGATTTGAAAATATTACACACATTTCATTCGTGCAAATGGTCGTTCTAAAAATAGAATCAAACTCAAAGTGTTTCATCAGCATGTTGACAATTTGAAACATCATGGAATATGGACATTATGTGCAAAATGTCAAATGACTTGACAGCTAAATACCTTCTTTCTCTTCCGGAACACACAAAGGTACGGTGTACAATTCTCTGTTATTCCAAAAAATAATTTCAATTTATTCGATTCATCTTAAATCATCGGTAAATAAATCGTGTTGAATCGAATGTTTTTTGAGTTGATTGTTCATTGTGAATGAATATTTATCGGATAGCTGTTGAGATTTTTAGATTTTTTTTTTTTAAATTTCCATTGTAAATATTCACGACTAACATTCTGTTATTATTTACAGAGTTGATAAAATGGCCAAGTCAAAGAATCATACCAATCACAATCAAAGTAAGTTTCTCAAATTATTTAAAGTGAATCAAAATAGTAAAATCCAGCTTGTATACCACTGAATATTCATTAAATTTGTTTTGTTTTTTTTTTTTTGTTATCTTTTAGACCGCAAAGCCCATCGTAATGGCATCAAGAAGCCAAAGCCTAAGGTTCATGAATCAACCTTGGGTGTAAGTATTACAAACAATGTGATGTGATTTCTCAACAAGCAGAGTGTTACAATTTAATTGACCGTTTTTGTGACCATTTCAGATGGATGCCAAATTCGTTCGCAACCAACGATTCGCTCGCAAAGGCAATGTCGGCGTTGTTGAAGCACGCAAACGTCATGAAGAAAAATTAAAGAGCCGGGCTGACCGACCAAAGGCCGTCAAATTGTAAATGGGAATTTGTGTGATTCCAGCGAACTCCTGATTTTTTTTTTTTCATGATATGAAAATAAAAGTTTCTATTAACAACAAATAGAGCAATAAAAAAACTAACGTGTTTTCATTTGATCACTTTTAACTGACTAAAGACAGCTCAAAGCATGCATGAAGAGTTTCTAATTGAAATAAATTACAATTTTCTGTGGTTCGTGGTATCATGATAGTTAAAAGAGAACCTTTGAGCTACTCAAATGAAATTCGGCGCCAAGATTTGGTAACAATCATAAAATTGTATACAAGTTAAATTCTGAATAAGAGAGCAAATATTGCCAATTCCACACGGCATGTCATTTAACAGTGTGGTTAAACAAAATACCGATAGGGGGCCGATTGAAAAGCAATATGTTTCTGTTGACATTTTTTAAAACATAACCTAGTTGCTGTTCAGTTCAAAGTTAGTTTCGTAGGTTGAATTGTGCATAAATTTTCTCGTATTTGGTTTGGAAATGGCATCGGCAGCAAAGATTGGTGTAAATTTTGTGTTGGGCAGATGTGTACCAAGTGTTAAACAAAATGCCGCAAAAATTCGAGTTACTCAGCTATTGCTTGATGAAAGAATAAACATGGTAAGCTTGGGAGCAAAGTCGTAATGAATTGGCTCGCGACAAACACATTTCTCAAAATAAAAGATGATGATGATGATTTTTTGCATTTTCATGGAACAGTATTTCGAAGAACATGAACATGTATTTGCTTATGATCCAGAGAAGAAAGTGAAAACTGGCGATGTTGTGCTAATTCGACAGCTGCCAGAGAAAAAGGTAACCTATTGGGGAATTAAGGGAATGTTGTTGCTAATAATTGCTCATGTGTTTTGTTCTTTTGATTTATTTTGTGCAGACAACATTGATCACGCATTCGGTTGAGAAGATCATTTATAAATTAGGCGATGTGATTGATCCAGTCACAAGCAAATCCGTTGTGGCTGACACATACCGTGAATTGAGTGACGAGAAGAATCGTTTGTACGGAAAAGTAGACACAGCATTTGATTACAAAAAAGCACCTCCTCGTGGTCGACTCGAAGGTACAAGGGACTTAACAGACAAACCAACGTACACAAAATTCTATGCAGGGTGCGACGATCCGTATGCTTGGTAGTTTTTGTTTCGAAATCAGCATTTTTTTGAACGGAATTCAATCGGTGTTTCTAGTTAGTTGTTTGTAAATAAATTAATTCTTTAAATCATAACAAAAGAGTTGTTAATCATTTTGTGTATGCCCCAAAATGCAGCGTTATCTTGACATTTTATTCTATTCTTCACATTTTATTGCCTCGAAAATTCATGTTCTATGAAATAATCATTCTGTTTGATATCCAAAAGTTTTGAATGGATAAGTATTCGTCGTACCGTACTTACCGCCGAGACTGACCAATTAATGGAACACCTCGGATTTAACCTAAATACAAAAGCTACAGATTTTCTCTATGGAATGGTTTTGAGCGGGAGTAAAAGTTCTCGCCAATCGACAGAAGGACATAACGATTAGCAAAAGAAATGTTCTCCATTTCGAGAAAATTCCAATTCCAAATTCCAATCTACTCAAAACAGCGCTCTAATATGAGCTATGGGAACGGAATTTTTACAACCCTTGCAGTGAACGATATAAATGTTCAAGCATTGACTGACCGTCAGTATAGATATTGTAGAGGTACACTACCGTGCAAAAGTTTGGAACCACTAGGTATTTTTCATACAAATTGACCATTTTTGGTGGACTCATTAACATATTTCGGAAACACCTGCACTCTTGATATTTTGTGCATAGTTTCTACAACGTTTCAATAGTAAATCACAGAGATTTCATCAAAAAATATTCATGAATTTCAAAAATATACTCAATGAAGCAGCGGACTTGTCGGCACACTCGTGGATTTAGCAT